GGGTACATACTCCGTGATACACACAGTTCAGACTTTCGAAGGTGTTTGCGAGAAGTTTTGCTACATTAAGTAGAAGTAGCCTTCGTCTAGATGCCGCCCGCGTCCGGTGAAGGGCCTTAGCAAGTAGAAGAGGGCTTTGGGATATAGGATAATCAGGAACCCGAAGAAGAAGTAGTAGTAGTAGTAGTAGTAGCAGCAGCAGCAGTAGCCGCAGCAGCAGCAGCGGCAGCGGCAGCGGCAGCGGCAGCGGCAGCGGCAGCGGCAGCGGCAGCGGTAGCAGTAGTAGTAATAATAGTAGTCGTCGTCGTCGTAGTAGTCGTCGTCCTCCTCATCGTGACTATTCTGACACCTATGGTTAACCCGAAAGCTTCCAGCAAGTGAACCCAGGCTTCAGATCTTCTCCAAACTTGTCGAGCAGGCGCTGAGCCTTCGCCGGCCCGGAGGGTTTTATTGACGGGTTGTGGCGCCTGGGTTATTATGGGCTTTCGGACTAGAGTTCTTGGGTGGAGGGTTTCGGCTTTGGGGCTTTAGGGCTTCGAGGTTTATCCTTTTCAGCACTCCGTTTCCGGCTCATCAGTTATGGTTTTGGGGTATGGTGGAACCGGTTTGGGTCAACAGTCGAGGTTTTGGGGATGCAGTAGCCTGTACCCGAAATTATCTTTCCTTTTTGTCGGCACGCCTAATTTCTGAAAAACCGACCTTACCCGCGTGGCCCAGAAACATCCATGGAGCTTAAACTCTGAACCGTAATGGCGTTGCGAGCAGACCCGGAACCTGGACCAATTCGAAGCCATGACAAGGCCAGGCGCCGAGGTGGCCAGCCCCACCGCAACATTCCAACATCGATAATCATAGCAATCATGGTAACCATACCACTAATTGCAACACCAGCATCACAACTGAAAATGAACACCATTATTTCATGCGTAATAATGGTAGTAATGATGCCCATGGTAATACTCAGGATAAGATTGCCGATAGACGTGCTTCGAGTATAGAGTGCACCCGCACTCACAAACAGGATGATTAGCCAAGTATTCCATGCTGACCACGGGATGCCACTTTCTCCCGAGCCCCAAACTCACTCTGAGCCTCAAGCCTCCTAGCCCTACAGCCCGACGGCCTGAAAGCCCCAAAGTCCGAATCTAGCCCACAAAGCCCCCCTTAAACCCTAAACCCCTAAGCCCTGATACCCCTAAACCCCAAGCCCACGCAGCCCCAACGAAGCCCAAAGCTAAGCCCTCCAAAGTCCCGCCGTCCTCCAGAAGCGGGGGCTTTTCTGTAGAGTCGGAGGAGTCCCTGCGCAGTTAATTTAAACTACTGTCAATGGGCGAATGGATTATGGAGACTACTATTGGGGATTATACAAGGACTACTAGAGGTATCCATTCCCCCAGTCCCTATTAAGCACCAGACAGACTAACGCCCTTAACTTCTTTAATGGAGCTCGGGCTCTTAGGGATCTTTGGGTATGTACAGATGCATGTACTTATGCATCTACGTACGTATGTCGGCATGTGTATATACATATGTATCTATCCTTATTTGTGGGTTGAACCTTTATGCTTTATTTGACCGGCACCCTTCCCGGTCCCAGTCCTAACATGCGAAAGGGGGCAGCAGGGATTGAAATCTAAAGCCTGAGCCTCCTTGTTGTTTGGTTTCCGATGTTGGCGCATCAAATTCTGCTACTGCGGAGCCGGTGGGTAAAGGTGAACCAGAATTCGCTCAACAACCTTCGGCCAGGTGCGGTGAAAACATTCTTCGTTCTAGGCAAGAGCCTTCAAAGGTGTCTTTGAGGCTTGATGTGAATAGATGCGGAGACTTTCGTTTCTATCTGCGTAAGCAATGGCCCCCTTCTTCGTCGCTCTTCGCCCTTGTCCCCTCCTTCGCTTGCTACTGCCTTTGCTTGCTTTCCTGGCTGCAACAACAGTCGCAGCCTTAAAACAACAGGCAAATCCCATGCAAGATATAGCCGCAGCCCAGAATAGGAAATATAATACACCACGACACAAGATATTAATAATCCCCAACATGCGTCATGCACTTCTCTTAACAAAAGCAGTCGCTGCCTTAAAAAGGCGGGTAAATCCCATACGGAACAACTCCGAAATCCCAGAATGAGGAAATACAAAACACCACGACACTAAATATCAATAATACCCAACATACGTCATGCACTTTGCTTAACAAATTCAGTCGCAGCCTTAAAAAGATGGGTAAATCCCATACAGAATATCGCCGAAATCCGAGAAGTAGGAAATATAATGCGGCACTATCGGTAGCACGTGTAGGGTGTCACGGGTTCTGGGCTCTGGGTTTGGGGTTTGCGCATGTGGATGACTTTTGTTCATCCGATGTCTGCATATGTAGCTTCGTCCCAACCAGTTGTACACCTTCGAAGCTCTCCAGCCTAACGTAAACCCACACGCTGTATGTTGCCAATCCTCAATCTTGTTCCGAGCCCTAATGCCTCGCCTTCGGTGCTGGGCCGTCCCGGCGGCAACTAGAGGAAGGTCAGGCTCGCATGCGTCCGGAAACTCAACATCCGCGAGAACAGCACCAGGAACGTCAAAGATGAGCATGCCACAGATGGCACCACAGCAACATCGATATACAACACATGACATGAATAATCTCTGCAGGCCTCGAAGCTTGCGACTAAAGGATGTGGCGAGTCGCATGCCGTACGCCCTCAAGTCTACAAGCACACCTTCGCGGCAACCCAAGCCTAAGCGCAAACCCCTCTTCTTTTGTTTTGCATCGGCTCGATTGCAACATCGTCCACCTGTGCGGCAGAAGATCGTTTTAAACTTACGCAACAATTGGCACATACAAAAAACCTCGCCTACTTGAGGCCATCTTCGTCTTCATGATTGCGGTCCAGGAGATTCCACACCGGAAATTCTTGATGGCTTTGATAATAAAGGTAAAGCAAAATTTCTACCCGCTAATAAAAAACCAAACGACTTATCTTGCACCAGCGGTGGTCACAATGGCCCAGCAGCAACCTCGAAGTTGCTGGTTAGATTCAGCCTGTTTGTTTTTGGTTTTCGCTTGGTGCAACTTAACGCTGAGAGCCCAGCCAAAGCGCACTGGACTCCGCAGTCTTTCATCGCAGGAGTGGGGCCTCAACTACGACAAAATGAAACGAAACACAGAAACACAAAAACTGAAAAACAAAAGCTCGAATCTGAGACGACAGCTTTCTGCACATTCTGCACCGGCAAGCTTCTCCTCCGCGCATTGCACAGCGAGACGGTCCAGCTTGGCAAAAAGGGCGAATACTGCCATCTGGAACCTGCTGGTCAACCATCTTCGTGCCGTGCTTCACCATGCCTGCTGAGGGCGAGCACCTCAAAAGCAGATGAGCGACAAATGAACCGTCGAGGCACGACATCCGTATCTAGAAGACACAGCTATGCAAAGCCGCGTCACATGTTGGCGACGCACTGGCTGTCTTGCACCAAAGCGCAATCTCTGGCAGAGAAGTAACAGCCGTCAGCATACCGGCACCCAGAACCTGCTCGCTGGCATTCACGTACGCTTGAAAAGCATTGTTGGGGATCTGCAACTGCTCCTCCCCCATGACCTTGCTAAAGTTGTAGCAAGCCGTCTTCAGATCCTCAGTGAACTGTCTTGACAAGGGCACCCGGCGAGAAGCCGCATCGAAGAAGGACTCGCCCTGGCGAGGTGCGGTTGCCTAGTCGGCAAGAAGCGAAATATGCCGAGATCAGCGCCTTTTCTGTTTCTGCCAGGGCGAAGGTGGCATCCAGGTTACCAGGTTGTCCCCATGCATGAGGGCTATGATGCATCCGGGTTCTTGATCCACACTTCGTGGTGGAGCGTCTCAAAACACATTCCATTGGCCCATGTCTGCTGCACTTCCGGGTCCACAGATGACTCTTGCAAAATGCTCCGCGAAGCGGCTTGAGCTCAACCCCGGCAAGCAAAGACTTTTGCATTGCCACAAAATGGTTCGTGTGCCGAGCGCACCGGAGCGGATCCGTTGGAGGGGGCTCCAAACACAGACCGCGATTGTATCTCCAGACGCGAAGGCCTTCTTGCCCCAAGATCCGTCTGATTACACCCTGAGAGTGTTTGCCGTTGACGCCAGCGCCACTTCTGTTGAAATCCGAAACCGCCATTTCATGAAGTGGAACCCTGGTCACTCCCAGAGAAAACGTCTTCAGCACATAACTCGTCTCCTGGAGACAGAGGCCTGAGGAAGCCGCGGACTCGGCTATGATTCGCACGGACAGGAGGCAAGGGAACCATCGACCTGGAGCCAACTTACATTCGCAGTTTGCGAAACATCTGGAGACTGCGATATCACAGCTTGCGACACATGTTGGGACAGCACACTTCCATATGGCAGCTTCGGACACATGTGAAGATCACAGCCTGCGATATCGCAGGTTCTTACATGCAGCACGTCCGAGCAAAGCGAGACATGCAGGTGCGCTGTGATCCGTTTTACGGGGCCAGCATGCCTGACAGAACTCGCACAAAATCCGGCTCTCCGAACGTCCATGCCATCACGCACAGCACTAAGAAACTAAGTCACGTGCTTCACTCTACATAGTATTGCCGTAGCCGATGTTTGGGGTTGGCAGCCCGAAAGGCAAAAAACTTACTACGTACTACCACATACTACCACGTCGGGCAGCCAACCCTATACAGTGGCCAGGTCAGCAAAACTGTTTTTGCATCTCGGGGAGCCAGCCGCAAACATCTGCCGCCAAGTTTTTGCATCTCGGGCCGCCGACCGCAAACATCGGCCGCAAAGTTTTCGCGTCTCAGGCAGCCGACCGCAAAGATCGCGCGGTTTTTGCACGTCGGCCGAACGCATCCCCTAAATAAAGCCCCTAAGGCCCCGAAGCCTGAACCCTAAACTCCTAAAGCCCTGAAGATGCTAAAGCCCTAAACCCTCAACCCCTCAAGCCCTAAAATCCTAAAGCCCCATGAGCGACGAAGCCAAACTTGAGAGCTAAAGCCAGCTAAACCATCACCCAAAGGTTCCCTGTCGTGTGCGCGGAAAACACCTTGGAGAGGCGCCTCCTCTCCCTCTCCCTCTCCTCCTCAAAGGCATCCAAAGCCTTGTGCTCAGGGTTGGGGCGCTGGGCAAACGGCTTGGAGCTTGGTGTTAGGCCTTGGGCTCGACAGTATAGCTGAACCCGATGGCTGGAACTTGCAGGGGAAACTTCACCGGCTGGCTATCTCCAGGGATCCTACCAAGAAGAACCAAGATGCAAATGTTATAGAGCCTCACATAACTTTTCGTCCAGATGCTTACCGGACTCCTGTATATGCCCTTGAACTCTAAGCTCTTCTAACCAGCCCTGAATGTTGAACGCCGTAAGCTCGATAGTGCCGAACCTCAAAGCCACACATCAACCCTGGCACCCTGCTCCATGCAGAGCCTCGTCAAGGAAGTGGCAAAGGGAATGGCGTGCCGGCAAGCGATACTTTCGATGCAGGTGCCAGCTTCGGGGTATACCTCAAGAGGTCACGGCTTGGGTTTCGGCCGTGTGAAAGTTCGGTTGGTAACATGGGCTTGTTCTAGTTTGGAGCGAGCCTTGGCGTGAGAGCTGTCAGGCTTCCAGAATGCATTCCACGAGTGTGGAAACTTGCAGATCGGAGAAGAACCACGTTCGTGCTGGTTGCTTCATTGGCTGCCACACATACGTACTACATGCACACCGTCCACCCACCCACCCACCCACCCACCCACCCACACATCCATCCTTCCATCCGTATGTCCATGCACACACGTGCGTTCACAGATATGCATACCTGGTTGTATATATATATATAACTGTTAATACGTATCCCCTACTATACAAACATATTAAGATATGATGTGATATAGTATAATATGAGATCGTGTGAGGGTACAATAGCTAAGATGATGCAGTACATATTGCAGTCCAATATAAAACAACATATTCAACATGATATAGCAGAGAATATAACAGAACATCATATCACTATACACACATGGCAATGCACAACAACAATATAGCATAGTATAGTATCATGCATTACAATATCAAATCTATACAGGACATTATAATCTAACGTAAGAATATGATGTGATTCTGGCAGAGTAGAATACACTGGAACATGACAAACTATGCTATTCGTACACACGTAATACGTGTATGTATGTATGTATATATATATATACACACATACACACCTGCTGAGACATGTGCATGTATGTGTGTGTATATATATATATACAGATTCTATGTGTGTGTTTATATATATATATGTATATATGCACAGATGTATATACATATGCATAGTGACAAATACAATAAGAAGTTGGATGGGCGCCACATGCCTGGGTTCGCCAGGCTGCTGCAGAAGTCTGCGAAGACATTCCGTGTACACTGAAGATCATCGCACTCCTTTGCTCGAAGAATGTGCCCCAGTGAAAGCAAGTGAAGCCCAAAGAAAGCTGTAGGTGTTTGGTCGGGAATCAGGTTCTCGGGTCCAAAACCTCAGCTAAATCCTTCGTACCCTCGGGCCGGCAGGCAACACAAGACCTCACCCCCGAATCCAATGTCCTAAAGCCAAGACTGTCAGGGAGGAGTCTCAACGAAATGACCAGAAATTCTTGGACCAGGGCGTTGGGGGTATATGATAATGAGCTACTAATTTGAAGCCGCCCTGAGATTGCGAAGTCAGGTGATCACTCGCTATTGAGAGGTCGTAATCTACTTGTCCTGAAGTCTTGCAGCCTGTAAGGCTTATGCACAGGATTCGAGGCCACAGCGCGAAGTAAGTCCCAATCAACCCCAGCTTTGTGTGACCCGTCTCTTGTGCATGTAGGAATCACTCTTCACATCGACGAAAGCATCGACGATGATCGCCTCGGCAGATATGCAGGCACAAAACATAGAAGTGTGCATGTGTTTCAGGTGGTTCAGGGGTTCAGGGCAGCATTAGTTCCGCAACCCGTATTCCACAACCCTTGTGCCGATGAAAAACTGTGCAGTCAAGGACAGTAGGAAGAAGATAGATTTAGGCACATAGCCAAGAAATGCCACGTATCGCAGTCGTCCCTGATCTTAGGGTTTAGAATCTTAGAAGGCTTCAGGCTCGCGGAACCCCAAGTCAGACCGCGTAGTGCACATTTGAGGGCCATTGTTCCAACCATCTAAGTTCTCACGTTGCCCAATAAACTGAACCTTCGAACGAAGTTGGGCCCGAGGGCATTGCCTGACCAGCTCCAGTGCTTGGCTTTGTTACGGCTCGTTGTTTCGAGCCGAGGTCTTAGCCCCTGAGCCCTATAGGCCTCAAGAAGCCCTGGAAGCGCACCAGACGATCTTTTGGCAGCCCGGCACTGCATGTTGCATGAAGCGATGGTCAGCGTACACCCTAGACGTTGAAAGGTCCCGAACAAATCGATAGAGAGCGCACAGCTTCAAAAGTTGAAAGGCTTCATGCTGCCCACTGCCCTTCCAGATTCACTTGCTAGCAGCCAGGGCAATCAATTGACAGGAGCTGAGGAGCGATAGGAACCACGCGAGAGTGCGCCCGAGAGCAGGCCCCGGTGTGTTGAAGCCCATGTACAAAACGTTGAAGGCGGTCCGGCACACGAGGTGAAAGCTTGCAAGCTTACCCACTGTTGCCTTGTCCACACCCATCAGAGTGGCACCCAGGATTCCAGCCGCAAAGACTGGGAAAGACTCCAAGCCGTTCCTTGGCGGTTTCTGGAGAGCTTCTACGCAGCATACTTCTGCTTTCTTGTTCGTAACTGTAAATCCTCAGCCCTAAAGTCCAAACTTCTAAACCCCTAACCCTAAGCCCTAAACGCCAAACTCAGCACCAACCGTAGCAGCCTGGCTTCTGATGCGCAGCTTCCGCTCTTACGATCGCTTCACCGTAGACTGGGTGCTTCGTCATCCTCGGCTTCTCAACCGGCTTCTGGTAAGATACGGGTTTGTAAGGTGCTAGTTGGCTTTACAAGGGTCTCGTGAGGCCTTATACAGCTGTTTGAGTGATTCTACTATAAAACAGATGTAGATCACGAAATTAGCTTCTGGTACGTTATAGGCTTCCTTGCCATAAAGAAGGTCCGGTCGCAAAAGGTGCCTTTAATTCATAGACTGACTCTGACAGGTGCGCCGAAACGAAGGAGCACAGACGGAAGGTCCATATCGAGAGCAATGCGGCTTAGGCACAGCCCGAGATGGTCTTGAGACATGTCGCCCTCTGGGTTTAAAGTGGCTAAACACAGCTTATCGAAATCGCTGGATAGTCCATGCGACCTTCAACAGCTGCGTTGGAGATGAAGCGTTCATCCGAACATCGGCGGTTCTGCAAAGCTATCATTTACTAGCAGCATGTCGCCGGCGATATGTTTCTCTGCTGACAGTATCAACGACGACCGAAGAGAAGGAGCCGCAGAAATACTCGAGACAGACTCTGAGGGTTGTGCAAGTCTTGTGCCATCATTTGGAGGCGAACTATACTGTCGCCAATAAGACTTTAGACCTGAAGCTCCTAACCCAAAGGTCTAGAAAAGACATTCCCCCACAGAACTCGCCTGAAAAGCCCTCTCCAAACCTAAACCCTAAACCCTAAGCCCTAAACCCTAAACCGCTGACTGAAATCTGAGGCTTTTCCTTCGAGGAGCTCCTCCTTCTGCCCCCTGGGATTCTCATTCTTGATCTTGTCCACGCCTCCGGCGGCCTTTGACATTAGGTACATTCTCCACATGTGCCTGAGATGTGGGGGTCGCACCGAAGTTTCGGGACTTTCCATGGGTCCGTGTAGGATTTGGGTATCCATTCGTGTCAAGCGCTTCCTGAAAAGACCATGAGGTGCTTCGCCTTGCTTCATCGTTCAAGGGTTTCTTCTCGGTCGCCGGTTCCGGGTGCTGAAAGATAACTATTATTATTACTACTACTACTACTACTACGACTACTACGACTACTACGACTACTACGACTACGACTACGACTACGACTACGACTACTACTACTACTACTACTACTACTACTACTACTACTACTACTACTACTACTACGACTACGACTACGACTACTACTACTACTACGACTACTACTACTACTACTACTACTACTACTGCTACTACTTCTACTGGTACTACTACTAGTACTACTACAGTCGTGCAGATGTTTAAGGAGGGCACAGCTCTGCTACGAAAGCAGGATTCAAAAGGCAACAGCGCAAGGCACTCAGGACACACCGCAAGCAACCACCCCTTCATGCCAAAACGCAACATTTCTGCAACAACGCCGTCGTTCTTAATCCGCCAAATGCCAAAATCCGTAACCCCGACGCCCCCAAGCCATTCCAGGCTGCGGCGTGTTGTAAAGGAAGACGGACCCAAGGAGCGCCGTAAAAGGAGGCGACTCTGGGATCCTTCTGCGAAAAAACAAATAAAAAGCGCTGGGCTAAGGGATTTGATGAGTTTAATGGTTCCGGCGTAGGGGTTCAGGCATTTGCAGGGCTTTGCGGCTTGAAGGCCAAAAGTGTCAGGAGGCTCGGAACTCAGGACGGTTCACGGTTGAGGGGGCTGATGCGCTTCACAAGCCCGAGCCCTTAAGCCCTGACCTCTCGCAGAAGTGCTAGTAGCAACAATGATACAAGTAGGTTTGCTTGAATTGCTCGGCATAGGAGGCTGGAGGTGCGAGGAGCAGACAACCCTGCCAACATGGACGACGCCGGGAGTCATATTCAAGAGGAAGGATGGGACGCCGTTGCCCGTTGCAGCTAGTAGCGGCGGGACGATCGACATGGCGTCGGTGAATCAAGGCAGCCTGCAACCTATCGCGTTTGACTTTGTAAGGCGCTGCAGCAAGCGGCAACAGAATTTGGGTTGAGGGCCTTGGGGTTGTTGGGGTTCAAGTTTAAGGTTCAGGGTTTCAACCACGACACGAATCATGCCTACACTCGGTCCTCGTCGCAAGTTGTGACTTCAGGTCCCTGATTAACTCTACACACCGAGAGTCCCAAACTACACGGCAAGAAAGGACCAGGACCTGCAGGCAGGATTGAGCCTTGTGCTTTGGTGAAGCTATTTTTAATACTGAGGTTTCTATACTCAGTCATGCCGTTCCCTCATAGTCTGATTCCGCCTCTGGGTTTTAGGGTATACTATTTCTACGCTAGTATTAAGTATTCACGCCCGTATACTCGACTGGAGCCTTGACGAGCTGGATGACTTTCTAAAACCCCAGTTACACCTTACTGGGGCTCTGGCCAAGAAGAAGTTCAGCAGCGTGAAGAACCTCACTGCACGATGCATAATATCGGGACAGTAATGCTTAGAATGGGTTTTGGCGGTACATTCTAGTGCAATCATAACAAGGAACCGAAGGACAAGTCGTAGTAATTATTTCGACCCCTACATTACAGGTCTACGCGGCGCACCACGGCATCCTGCGTCTCATGTCGCTTATAACTACTACTGTCAACATCACCACCGTTGCAACAGTGGCAATTCTGCGTCACCAGTTACCACCCCTGACGCCAAGACGCGTACAGCTACGAATTTCAACATTCATGGTAATTCAGACCGTCACCGTTTACCCCGAAGCCCTCCGGAGCCTCCGATGGAAAAGGTCGCATGCAAATTCTGTGCTTGAACTCTAAAGGGAATGCATGGCAGAAAGGGCACTAAGTAGGGAAGCGCCAGGAGTATCCAAGCTTCGCCATTTCAAGTCAAGCTCTAGCCTTGTTGGGTTCAACCGGACCAGGTGCAAGCGACAAAAGCAGTGAGTCTTAGTAACCAGGCCAGCCAGCCGCAGGCAGCATCCTGAACACCCACCCAAGGCCCAAAGTCCAAAGGCCCAAAAGCCAAGGGGCACGACCAGCATGAAGGATGCAGCATAGACCCAGTACATGACGCTCATGCTTCCTGACATGCAGCAGGGCTGGCGGGTGGAACCTCAGCCCCAAGTTTCCACTCGAACCACGGGGGGTTACGGAGGGGCCCTAAACCCCAAACCCTGTACAGCCCTGAGGGTGGGCTCGAAGACTGTAACCTCCCAAACTCTTTGGCTTGGGATGTGGAGTTCGTGATCAAAAGCTATCTGAAGCCTGGCAGCCCAACGCCTACGAAACTCGTAGAAGTACCACAACCCTGTCAAGCCTTTACAAGTAAAGCCGGATACGCGAAACCTGAAGCAGTGGAGTCAGAGTGTCAGGCTATGAACTCTACGCAGCCCGAAGTCTTTTGTCCCACACCCTCGCTGTTCCATGGTCGTCCAAAGGAAACCCTTGACCCCAAACCCTGAAGCCCTACATAACTAAACCCCAAACCCTAAACTCTGAAAGCCGTCCTGAGAGCTTCTCGGCGCCATCAACAAAGATGAACCTCACCACGGGTTCCGGGTCTAGGGGTGTGATTAGAAACCACCTAGACATAAAGACCAGAAAGGTGCATTCTCGTGAATCCCCCAATTGTGACATCCCCAGTTTATGTGTTTTGGGCCTTGAAGCTTTCGGGCGTTGACAGTTTACACGGTTTTGGGATGCTTCAGGGCCAGGAACCAAAGATGCAAACAGCATCACGAATGCTCTACATCTCTCTGATTTGGCTCTGGCAGTTCATGCGCCAAGACCACGATGAGTAGAAGTTGGTGTTGTGGCTCTCTGTTGAAGGTGTGGTAGGACCCAGGCATCCTTTAGGGTTCAGGGCTTCCACAAGACAGGCTTTTGCCCCTCCAAATGCCCTTACTTGATGTAGCCCCAGATGCGAGGTACACCTGCAAGTAAGGACATACACAACCACCCCCAAACCCAACAGCCTATCCCACTGGTGCTTCTGCGGCCATCCAACCCCTCACGTTCCAACTCAAAACCTTCAGGCAAGGGAGATGCCTGCTTCCCCTCAACACGAGACACTGTTTCCTACCCTTGCCCGTGTTAGTTTCAAAACGCGGTTGTGATCTAGGAAAGTGTGATCTGGCTTGTGCAGGATGTTCCGACTTGCAGATGCTTTTTGGCATGCAAAGTAAAGAACAAGGTCATGTACACCGGCAAAGTAGCACGCCCAGTCTGGATTTCACCATGCACCCTAGACCTTCCGGCTTCAAGGATCAACATCCGAAACTCGAGAACTTGCAACATGCCGATTGGATAGTCCTGCACAGATACGGCTGATTTCGCTATCATGCGCCCCCCAAACCCCCGTCCTAGCTAGGGGCGATGATCCTTGTTCTGCAGGGGTGAACACTTCCAGGCCATCAGTGATCACTTTCAAGCACGAGACGAGAAGCTCCCCAAAGAGCATTCGAACTTGCGTCGCGCACGCGTCCGGGAAGGTGCCAAAAAGGTGCACCGTCCCACCTTAGTCATGATGAATCACAGGGTGCATCACCCCCAAGATATGAGCCTCTACGAGAATTCGACTCTATGCCGAGAACACCTTCGACCTCGCTGCTTGAGGCCCGAACCCCCTCTACCGGTGCCCAGGCTTGGCAGGTCTATGACTTGCATTTCTAGTTTAGTAGTTCAGGCGTAGCCGTTGGCATCGGCCAATGGCGAAGGAAGCGAAACCACTATCCTGATCACGGTCGAAATTTCCATCTTCGTTCGATACATTGGGCCAACGGGCAATTACCCTCAACACGACTATCATCCTACCACTGCCACAGTCATCATGTTCATGCTCCAGTATCATCGGCATCTCCATCTTCGCCAAAATCCTCACATGCCTCCCGTTCCGCTTCCTTTCCGATTCCCATCCTCCTACTTCTCCTCTTCCGCCTCTCCTGGACCTTGAATTCGTCCTTGTAGCACTCCTAAACCCAAAACCCGGTAAGCGAAACCCTGCCGAACTTAGAGCGGCTTCATCCAGCGAGGCCGCCGAGAAGAAAATGGGCCATAAACGCCAACATCAGGAACCTTGGCTTCCGGCTTTCAGGGCCTATAGGGCTTCATGGGCAAAGACCCCTTGGGTAATTTTCACTGTCTTGGGCTCTGGGGTGCTGTAGAGTTCAGGGGCTGTTCAGGCCGGAGGCTTCAAGTTCGGAGCTGTCTGGGCAAAAACGTCGGGTTCGGGGTCTCTTCGGGGTACGAGGTTTCGGGCCGACGGCTTTGCGGTGAAGGCTCACGGGATAAGGCATAACCTACTGTTGGGAGACACTCAAGAATGACGTACTCGATAGTACATACCGGGTTTTTTGTGCATGATCTAGAATAGAACCTAACCTGGACAAAACGACGGAGCAACCACATCGCAAACAGTTGCACGATTCAGAACTCGCATGCTCAAGTTTCCAGGCTATCGGTTTTCGATATCTCCGAAGTCCGTTTAAGTTTTGCCATTCTGAACCTCACGAAGAGCATTACTCTAGACTCTCTCTATACTTAAGAGCACGACATCTAGCCCTCACACCCTAGAAGAGCGCCCTTAAAATCAAACCAACGTCTGGGCAGCAAGATGGCAAAGACCACGAAGAAGTGCACCATGTTCCACAGGGCCTTCTTCACCGTGCGGGTGAGCCTCGGCTGCTTTCACGGGGTCGGGCTTCGGCAGTCTATGGTTCTGTCTAGTGTTCACAGTACTTTATGTCCTCAAGTCCGCTTTAAACCACCGAGACGAGCTGATGATGAGTGTTCGGGCCTCTGTTTACGGTTTCCTGTGTGATGCGGCGATGATTTTCGCTGGTCGACTTTATGAATCACCACCCTCGCTGTGATCGTGCAAATGACAAGTGAAATTATTGTGCTCGCCCGGCCTCTTGCTAGTGTTGCAATACATACAGTCCTTTGGATTTCTTCCTGTTATTATATACTGTCCTTCATATCAAGACTATTGACTGCGAGTTGGATTCCGGCTCCATGTGCAATAGCAGCGGCTTGCCGGTCATATGACCGTTACCCGGGGATTGTGGGAGGCCATTGTCGTAGCATCCCTCATTTCGCAGCTCGGACCATTTGGCGAAGGTGGTGATCGAGCAACATCAGGCTGTAGACAAGCCTGTAGCTCCCTTCGCCCTACCGGCGTTGGACAATGCCGAGGGCAAGCTTGATCCACAAGATGCGTCTTTGAGGCAGCGAGCTTGCAGCGTAAGGTGCTGCAAGTCAGTGCAATCCTCCTAAACTTTAAACTCAAGATCCTTGTCAGGCTGAGCGTGACGCTTCATGGAGGCAAGCCTGTGGCATTGTGCCCGATCCAAGCATACATTCGCTTCAATCTGGATAGGGTCAACATCCCCTAGAACCGTCCCTAAACCCTAACCCTTAAGACTTCCACGGTCTGTGTACAAAGGCAAACCGAAGAAGCCGCTCAAGAAAGGCACCTAGACGCCAGTCCATCACATCACAGCCCTCAGGTGCTAAAGCACCCGCCAAGACAATTTAAAACCGTGCTCTACATCAAAACAGCTAAAAGCAAATCATCCCGAAATCCCAGTACACCGCAGCAGCTGGCAGACTCTATCAGAAACCCTCAACTTTTACTATCCATCCGAAGCACATGGCAACCTGCGGATGGGCGCTGAAGTACAATACCGCCTTGGGCCGTGATTGTTTTACTGTGAGCATTTCCACCTGACGTCAACGGAGTCACACTTTGTGGTCGGAGGGCCTGGTTGTCCACTGTTGCAAGTTATGCGTCGGTTTGCAGCCGGCTTATGTATCTTGCGTATTCATTGCTTCAATCACTACGGCTGCTTTCGCTGCAACACTTGAACTTTTACCATTGCGGATACATTGCTTCGGGCCCAGCTACATGAGCCATGGTTCACGTCTGCTCCTGTTGCTACCATATTCAATGTCACGCAGCATTGCACTTCTCGTGCTAAAATAAGGGTCACACACCAGCATTTACCACTGCTGCTGCAACTGCTATCAGCTCATGCTTGGAGTTTGGCGTGCCTGACCCCTTCAGGAAAACGTCCCAGCCTGCAGAAACTGCACATAGAGCATGATGTAGGATGCCAGCCGATGTGTCTCTAGCCACTCGACCTCCTCGTACACTTCCTTCGTTCCAAGCACTCGGGGTTCCGCCGGCAGAGCTTGATGGCGCACACTTCCCGGCTTCAAATTCAAGGGGTTGGGGATAAGATACCAAACTATTGATTGGCACTGGAACTCTGGATGGACGGATGACAGTGTAGACAATGGGTACCGCGACAGCCCTACAAGGCAAAAAATCCGAGCCCTGCCAACAACTATCAAGGGCTACAGTTACTGGCAGTAGCAAGTGTGAAGAAACACCATCACCAGAATCATTAGACTATTGTCATCAGCTAGGACTGCTAAGAGCCACAGCTGTCGCAGAGACGATGACGGTAAAGTTCTTGTTGTTGTTGTGATGATGGTGATGGTCACACCAGCAACAACAGTGCCGTCCGTAGTAGCAATTCTATCTTTGACAACCGTAGTGTTGGCAGAAAGGAGAATGACGAGAGCAGTGCGAAGAGTAGCTACTCAGTCAGCTACTCGAAACATCAGTTACGAGGAAGAGTATGAAAGTGCAGCAAGCACAGGAAAAGCAGGGATGCGTCCTGAAGGGGCGAGCAGTAGCCACGGCTCATCAATGGCACATCTTCTTTTGCAGGTATCTAGTCTGCTTATGTGCGCTACCGGCCCGCATTTGTACACCCACACGAACTCAATAAATCGAGATGTTTGTGTTTACGTGGGCATACGCTAGATGGCCTTAAGGGCGTAAGCTTGAATAAAGGGTCCAACACTGTATCGCGCACAAGCCTAGATCCTTGCGGCGCAGTCCCCAGGAAGGAAGCCATGGGCAGTCATAATTGTGCTGTTGGGGTTCCTGACATTGAAATGCCTGAATAATGTTGGCCCAAACTTTAAGTACCCCAGCCCGACAAGACGTCAATTTATTAACGACCCTGCATTCCGGGTGGGGCGGGGGGGGGGGGGGGGGGGTCTGTAGCTTCCGTGATTCCGTCTTCCCCTCGAAGTATTTCGCCAGGCTTTTGGTCAAGTGCTCCTCGAGGCTTCGGGCTTCTTTCTCCAGGGTCTCGGGTGTAGGGTTGCTGGAGAGTAATTAGCTGCAAGGGCTTCAGGGTTTGGGCCGTTTAGGGTTCAGGGGTTTCGCGCTTCTAGAAGCACTTTCGAGTCAGAGTCATCAATCAAAGGGCTCATGCATGGTTACTTGTCGACGCAGCGAAGCAACATGCACCAGGTACCTGGGTCGCCGCTTGGCCTCAACCCCTCAGTCCTCAGCCGCTTACGCCAACTTAAGAATGCTCAGTTTCTGGGCATCTGGATGCGCTTAAGAGATCTACGGTGCTCAGTAGTTTTAGACTAAATACCTCATAGAAATTTGACTCATGACGGCTGGAAAGCACTGCTTGTGCTGGCCTGATTCAACTTTGAAACAGGGCTCCCGCTTGGATCTAAACCCTAAACTCGGACGCAGGACCCTAGAAGGTCAAGTGTCTGGGGTGGAAGATTCGGGGGTTTGGGGCTTCGTGATTCAGTGCTGGTTTAAGGAGCAGAGCATGATTAAGCACCTTTACTACATGAAAGCAGCCTTTGAATGCAAGCTTATGGTGGTCCATGAAAGGCTTGAGGGGCACGAGGGTTCGAAGGTTTCCACAGTCTCTACGCCATGCATTGCAGACCCCGGCTTCACTAGCTTCGGCCTGAGAGTTCAGGCTCTACCAACAAGAAGCGGGAGAAAGACCTAAACTGAGGGTCGTAGGGCTTTGCGGCCAAGGGTTGGGGGGTTGCTGCAGAGACCCTGAATCCAGAAATGTTTATGCTGACCGGGTCTGCCTACAACCCATGCTTCCCTCCTCGTTCAAGCCGTGCGAATTGAGAAAGGTCTGCAGGAGACTCTCAAACTCATGGGACATGTACGCCTGGCCAACGAGGATGTCACAGCTTCAAGCTGCAAACCAAGGAAGCCCCGAACCGCAAGCCCTAAGCGCTTACTTTTTTTGCAGGAAAAGTCGTTCGCCTGGGGAACAGATATACCCCAACGCGGGACAGCTGGCGGTTGATTTCTTCCAAGACCAGTATAGTTAAAGTGCCTTCGAGTTGAAGTGCTTCAACCCTAAGCCCTAAGTCGTCAATACACTACCCTAGGCCCTAGACCCTCGACTCCAGCCAGAACCGCTGGTGTCCTCTGCACTCAAAATAATGCCAACATGCTGCAGAGGGAACCACCTTGTAAACACAAGACCAACCTCTGAACTCCTTCGCTGCTTCCGGATATCGTGGCTCTCAGGCTTTGGTTATTTGTCTTTTGTCAGGAAGTGGACTGGCGGTGCGCTTAGGTCCTCAGGGTTCCCTGAATCTAAACCCCACAACCCAAGTCAACCTGCATCCTGCATTACTCCACAGCTCTCGTGTGTTCTATCGACAGGCTCCCTCGCCGCCTGCTACCTTACAGGAAATCGGACAGTCTCTCAGCTTGCTTCTCGTGGTGTGGGAACAATGCATCCATGCAGCACGCCCGTGATCCTGACCCACGCTGTACATTGTAGCTCACATCCTCTAAGCCCTGAATGATGGCACATGTCTCAACTATAAAGGATGTATGGGCAAACAGTTCGACTCCTGTGGCCCGCCTGCTGTGTCCAGGTCACCAGGAGGATCGACGGATAGATGAGGAATCTGAGAGCCACAAGTGTCAGTGGTTGTTGAGGCTCTGATTGAGGAGACTCCGACTGTCGGGGTCGTCTTCTGTGGCTTGAAGTTTTCTTCGCGACTTCGTGGATGCGAACGGCTGAGAGGGTTCGCCAGCAGGACTTGGAGAGAACCAGTAACGGAAGGGCCTGATCAGTAGTGCAAGGTTATCGTGCTTAGCAAACATACTGTGTAGCTCTCGCCGCGACAACACATTTTCGATGTTGCACCCGGTTTCTGGATATCTCTTGCCGTGTGGTGCCAGCTTGGGATCAAGTTGCATGCGCAGGTCGAAATCCCGCTCCCGCCGACGTCCCGTGATGCGTGCCGTCCGAGTGATCTGCTTGAAGCCAGAAGCAGTAGACAGGAATAGCTGGTCAGTCTCTTATGCTTCAGCATCAAGCTTCACCTGTTTAGTTATAGAAAATCCCACTTCGGATGCAGGGGCTAGCTGAACCCTAAAGCCTAAATCCTAAACCCCCTACATCCTCACCCCTAAACCCTAAAGCTCTAAGTTTTCGGGGCCATGGCAAGCCAAAGGGCAGAGCACGGGAGAAGATCTCAAAAATTACCAGGCCCCAGTTACAGGTCTCCTGGGATGGGATTTCGCTTGGGGCTTCGAGCTTGGGGCTTAGGGCTGGGTTTATGATCTAGTGTTCAGACAAAAGGGGGTTTGGGGTTCCAAAGCACTAACGGCGTAAGGTAGGACTTAGGCTTTCAGGCCTTGGGGCTTTGGGGCTTCGGGCTTAAGGTGTCGGGGCCTCGGGGCTTCGAGTTTAGGAGTTGGGTTGCATCGACTCGCACTACCTATTCAACCTAGACCTTCTTTTGGAGGGACGCCTGCGTGAGCCTTTGAAAAGGGGTTCCTGATATAGGGCGTACATCGCAAACTGTGTGTAGTGAAGCACCCTTCCCATAGATGCAAACTGGAACCGTGTGTCTGACCTCCAACTAAGGGGTTACCGAATCCTACATGCTGCGCATTGAATGTATGGAGTTTCATGAGATTGATGGAGGCCATTGTCAGGCCCGCACGCACTAGACATACAAATATCCTGGCCAAACTGCATCTGGCTGGCAAGGATGCCTCCACTACAACCGCTCTTAATCTCGGAAGGTAGGAGTAAGATGGCCCGCGCAAGTATCAGCCACCACAAGACTTGCTTAGCTGTTGCTTTGGTACGAAGCTTCGAGAAGCCAAGCAGGAACCTAAGTTGGAGTGCCGAAGCCGAAGTCTCGATAAATCTTTTGCCCAGCTGCAGGGTGCCGAATCAGGTACACCGTCAGAGAAACGACGCTGAGAGATGCAGCTATGCAGGTTGTCAGCAGAAGGGCAAAGAAACTGTCCTGGGCTGATTGGATCCCTGCTTTGGGACGCTGGGATGGTCTTCGGGCTCTCGCTCTCGGCCACCTGAAGGAATTAGGCTCAAACTCCCAGTCGAATGCAGGTTGTTCTAGATGAGGGCTGCTAAACTATGATGCTCAACACTGCCTTAGATGGAACCGGATTACAGAACATCTCAACAGGCCAGGTCCTCAGGGCCTAAGCAAGTAAACCTTAAACCACCAGAACCGATGCCGTCCCAAACCGTCTAAACAATAATGAGCACTGTTCTTCTTGGTCTTAGCATAGGTAGGTACCTCTTGTAGGTGCAGTTTGCTGGCCATATTGAAAAACCTCTTAACAAGAGAATGCCAAGTCATAAAGCGGTACGACCAGAGCTACAACTGGAAGGATTTGGGGTCTAGAGTAGATCCTGCAAGTAGCACAGACAATCTCATCGTGGCTACGAGAGTAGCAATGACAACAGTGCATTGCACACACCTGCCCAAAGACTGCAACATCAAAACAAATATCTGAAATCGTAGCAGCATCAGCTCTGGCCTGTTTTTGTACGGCAGTTGCCTGTCAGCTTCGTAGTTTCTGCAGCAAGTAGGGGATCTTCTTTTGTGGGCTTCTGACCTGTGCGTCGTCAAACAGCTCGGATCCGCAGGCTTTCGGCTTTGCTTGGGGCAGTCCGAAATGGCTAAAGTCTGCACTTCTCTAGTTGCTGGAACTCGCGAAGAAAACCTGCCCCTTTCGACTCCCTAACGAATCCTCATAGCCGTCGGGTGTCCGACGCGGAGTGCACCAGGTCTCGATAGCTGATCATCCTTTGTGCGTTCGGAAAGCTTGGAGAGTGACGGAGTAGAGGGGCTCTTTCTGGCGCATCTCCGGGTTGCATAGGATTCGATCTGTCTACGTTTCAAGCCTGTTTTGCACTTTCGAATACTTTCGGCGTCTACATCTAAATCTGTATCCGTTTATACAAGTCTGTATTTGACTATCTGTTGGGGCGAGCAATACCCGGCACTTCCTTGCTTTGGCCAAGCACCAGCACTTCTTAATTAACATATCGCAGACTTCTGCTTGCTGCTTCCACAAGGAACCGTTCAAGTCCAAGCCCTCCTCAAAGGCTTGGGGCAAGTTGAAAGCCCTCGACCGTGCTACCGTTGATCACCCGCGTCACTCCATTTTATCTTCAAGCCGTGCGCCACGTGGAGAGCAAGGAGTTTCCGCAGATTGCTCTGTCAAGCGCCGGATGTTGACAAAACAACTGAGTTTTAATCAAATCCTAGCAGGACACCGAGCGCAGGATTTTTTCGGAAAGCCTCAAGTAAGATGCATTTCCACTTGAGGGCGTTTGCGGTCCAAATGCTTTCGTTGAAGGTCTCGACTTCTAGCGACTGCCGAATGCGGCCACATAAGCAGCTGTCCACCTAGTAGAGCCCAACGAGTTTACGTCGCCAGTCGTCTGTAAGTCGGCTTTTCTACACACAAGACGCCTACGGGCTAAGACTCGACACAGATGTTCGAACTTGGGGTTGGGAGTTGCAAGCTCGTGGGCTCAGGATGTTTCATTTTAGCTCTTCTGAGACTTGATCTGTGGAGCTTTGTTTTTGTCCATACTACTCAAAAGCCGCCCAAATCCGAAGCTGTTCATCGTAAAGGCCCGAGCCACATTCTCCTAAACCCCAAACCTCTGAACCCTGCGACTTCTAAACAGTTGAACCTGCACCCTCAGCCCTAAACCTTCAAACCATGAACCGTCCAAACCCCATCCGAAGGTAAACCCTGACCATAAACCTTATAGGACGTCGGCAGCTAAAACTAGCCACCCTGCAAAAAACGGCTCGAATTCGAAGGAAGTCTCTGCACAGAGCCCGCAATGTTCCCCGCATAGTCGAAAGCAAACCTCTGAAGCAGGGAAAAGATCCAGGCGTTTTGGAGAAGGTGTAATTAACCTGAGGACATATTATACTTGGGCACCCTAGGGCGCAAGATCAATAATCGATCATTCTTCTGTTTCAGCGTTGTGAGCTCCAGTAATGATTAGGGATTCGGCCCGCGTGCTTAGGGACCAGCTATTTAGAATCGCGAGGTCGGAGAACGGACCATGCATAGGCCGGGATCTCGGTTTGCAGGACGAGAGTTTCGATGGATTCGCAGGTCTCTGGGACTCAGGGGTCTGGGGTTTGAGTTTAGAGTTTAGAGAATATGCAACTGCAGCATGTAGAGTCTAGGGTTTTCTTGGTTGGAAAGGTTTAGAGTTCGCGAATCGTGTTTTCGGGTTAGGTGGCCCGGGTCGTTGGTTTTGGGATAAGACTCTCGCAGGCTCCAACGGGTTCCCAAATTTATAACCTCTCTATAATGTAAGCTGTACATCCGCGCATTATGGGTATATCGTGGCCATAACTGGGCTCATACTCAAACGCAATGCTGAGGCACTGAGTAGAAGAACGCAGGCTGAATTAACAGCACACCAAACGCAGAGTTGCAATATGGAGATGTCCGGACCTGCATCCTCTCAGTTCGGCCTAAATACTCGACGAGGTCGAATTGCATACGCTTTGGGATTCCACACCTCTTCGGGTCCTTGACCTTCGAAACTTGTAATTACGTATCAGGGGCACATGCAAGGCCACAACCCCACGGTTGGGGCTGAGTATCATATGGCTTTCAAGGTGTATCCTGTAACAGTACGGGATTCACACAGTCACTTCTCCTAGCGAAGAATACCCAAAGCGATCCCAACTTAGGAAGCCCCTCCCGATCAGGGTGTACTGCTGAGCCCGTCCAGGATGCTCCACGGTGAGGGAGGTGAACATCTCGATATTCTCGGTGTAGATCATCGTGCCTAAGTTGAATATCGTGCAATGGAGAGCCCGATCAACATCGGGCTGCCTGACAGAATATACAAGAAGGCACCGACCAATGCAAAGACACCAAAGCCTCCCCCAGTTGATGGGAGGCTTGGGCTGAGAGTTTGAGGGTGTTTCAGTCAGTGAATTCAACCAGAAGCACCGTTTTCGGGGCGGAATTGGGCCAGCCTGTATTTCGGGAGAGGTAGTAGCATCTACAGCATGCACTTTTGCTTCGGGCTTTATTCCCGCTGTCTAGCGAAGAGCTCATCGGCTCCTTGTGACTCGTCAAGGTGCTGATGGCGACCTTCTCTGTCTGCACATCGATCCAGCCCTAGGAACAGAGAGATCTCAACCGTCACGGAGGAGGGTTTCGGTTTCGAACTAACAGGGACTCGTTGGAGAGCATGTGCTCGGCTTTTTGCCCGAAGTGTGCGGGCAAGAACAAGCCAGGGTCCCCTAATCTAGGGTTGATGCGAGGATTTTGGGCATTGATAGGTTCGTCCTCGGGTCTACAACACTGAAATGAGTTAAGGATTCAATACCGTGTAAAATTTAGGCTGTACCGTCTGTAAGAACAGTCGTGCTAGGAATCCTGCATGGGGTTTGCGCGAGGCTTCCTCTCGAAAAAACATTGGCAGCTCGTGACTAATAGCTTGCTTCTGCAACTCGGGGTGACCGTGTGGTCTCGAAAAAGAGCCACAACCATCATCCTGAAGGTCCGCTAAGGGGGAGGAGGAAAAGCAACGAGCGGACACCTATTCATGGCCCAGACAAACACCAGGTTGGGAATGATTGGTTTGTCGGAGGGTGGGCGGGGCGGGTGTGGGGGAGTAGTGGTTGAGGCGTCAGGCGAGGACGACGATAATACAGGCAAACGAAGCCGAGTCACATTGGCACCCAGACCTTTCAATACAAATCCTTTCAATGGTGTGCCGTCTGGCCAAACAAAGCCTTGACGAATCCTCGGAACTTGAGAGGCTAAGGAACGAAGCTTACATCCTGAGCTCCTGAATCAAGCTACCCCTCCCTCTCTCTTTATATAGTTATATTGAAATGTGCATGCACATGTGCATATACATAAACATGTACGCATATGTATACATGTGTATATATATATGTGCATTAAACAAGTCTGTATGTATATATATATATATATTTACAAATCCATACCAACCCCTGCAAACAAAATCCCAATCGGCCAAGGATCCACCTTCTGCATTGCTTCTAGGTCCCTGGCACTTTCGATTAACATCGTCGGATACCTCAGGAAGACAGGTTTCGGTGTGGAGAAAATGATTCTTCTCGCCAGGGTTACTACCGCTCACAACTTTTCCTATAACATATATACATATATAGTTATAGATAGATATACATAAAGATATAGATATAGACTTCGAACATAGGTATAGACGTCTCGCTTTTCTCGCTTTTCGGGCTTGGACTCCATGTTGGTTGCAGCCCTTTGAGCTTGCACAAATTAGAGAGAGGTGAAACGATGGAGTGCGTGGAAGGCGCCTGTCTGGGCGTAGATGCATGTGTCCCCTCGGTGGTAGCGGAGCACCCCGGGCAAAGCAGAGATCGCCTGTAGGTCGAGCTCAGCAGGCCCCCGAACAAGGAGGAGACAAGCAACACCCAACAGAGAGAGACGGAGGAAGAAACGCACAAGGTCACCAGTGAACACAGCTGCCACACGGGTGTCAGACATAGTGCGTGCCTGCGGAAGTCGTGTCAGTGTCTGCCCCAGTGTGGGGAGACCTCTAGCATCGAGAATGAATGCTACTCCGTCGAAGGGGCCTTCGAAGAAAGAGATCGGAGTTCCAAGCCGGATCATCCGCAAGCATTCTGAGTGGCCATAGGCGATGACATTATCGGCCTCAGGCAGGCTACACTTAGCCTCTTCCTCGTCACGCACATGAATGATAGTGGTGTCGATGCACACGGGGCTCGGTGGTCTGATGGAAACAGCAGCAGTATCCAGCATACTGAGCACATTACCAGAATCGCGGAAGGAGCTTGTCTGCACATGTGTCTCAGATGTTCGCGGGATGAGCCAGAGAACCAGATCAGCCGAACAAAGCCACTCGGCACAGTTGAGCAGGCGCTGTGCGCCCCCCTGGGCGATGAGCTGCTGTTGCCAGGCCAGTGCCGTGGCGCGAAGCCGGCACGTGGGCGCACAGACACAAGAGAACGCAGCCCGGATTCTCTGCCATAGAACCTCATCCGAAGCCTGTGCAACCCCGTTATCGAAGTCCAAGAGTTGAAGGCACTCCCACACCTCAGCAATCGGGCAGGTTTCTTGTGTGGATGGGAAGGTGCCTGGGAAGCAGAAGCGCGGGCCTTCCGCGGTTAGTGCCGGGCATAGCCCCGCCTGTCTGTCGTCGTCTTTGCGGCTGCCAACGCCGGGTATAATCTCACAAGAGTGTCCGGTAGCCTGTAGGCGTTCTCTGCAAGGCGCCCTGTAGCGAAGGTGCCTGCAGAGCCGGACATTACTGGCGTAAGTTCGCATGCACGCCTGGCACTGGTGGCCAGTTAGGATCCCCCGGCCCTGTGCATGGCGACCATGGCTTTTGAACGCGTGCACCGCCCAGCTCTGTTTGGACTTGAAGGTACGTTGGCAGAGCGCACATCCATGAACGACATCAACATGGTCAAGCGCAGTGCCATGTAGCAGTGCGCCATGCAGTTTGAGCTGACAGACGAGCAGAGCGTGGTGCTGTTGGAGGGCGGCTTGGCACGCTTCGTGTTGTGCAACGTTGGCAGCTGCCTTTCGCAGAAGGTTCTTCCAACGCCCCGGTGCCTCGTGCAACATGGATAGCCAGTGTGGCCAAGCAGCGTGCCAGTCACTAGACTGTGCCCCGCCATCAACAGCCTCCCATAGCCAAGCAAGGGATTCGCGGACCGCTGTAAGCCAGTCCCCTTCCCAGTGGGCCAGTGCCCATAACTGGGGAATGCCAAGCCGGACAAATAGGTATAGACGTAGATATATTGTTTTCTGCATGTATACATCTTTTTCGGAAACTCCCATATGGGAGATCATCCTCGCAAAAGTACCACGAGAGATTTGCAATCTCAGGTCAGAGTGAATGGGTTTAAGGTTTAGGGTTTAGGGTTGCTTCGTCGATCGAATCTTAGGTGGCGGCGCTGCTTCAACCTCCCTTGCAATGCCTAGGCCCGAAACCCTTAAACCCTCAACCCTTAAGCACCGCATCCTCGAGACGTGGCATCCTTAGCCCCAGTCTAAAATTGTAACCGCCCTCTTTGTATCAACTGGGTTAGTTAGAAACTATTGGCAACGGTTCCGCAATTTTCGTGCATCTCAAAACTCCATGAAAATTGCAGAACCGGCTACAAATAACATGACATATTGTTTGAAGATGTACGAGATATTACATGTTATCCTTTTCCAGAATTCGAGTGTAAAACATGAGATGATTGGTTCAAGTAGAAACACGCTTTTGAGAAATACCGCATTATTTGTTAGTATTGTCACATTTTCCATGATCACATCCAAGCAGCCCGCCACCCGAAAACTAGCCAAACCCCAACTTCAGGAACCTCCACCGGCGAGGGATGTAACTCGAAGCTCTACACCGTCCAAAGCCCTCAATCCAAAGCTTAAATCCAGAAATTGCGGCACCCTTCACCAGAAACCCGACATCCGACACCAAACAACCACCGACAACCAAACCCCCGGAATCCCAAACCTTGAACCCGAAATCCGCAGCCCTGAACTCTGTGAGATCAAGATGCACGCTCGTACCGTGGAAACTCTGCTTCGCGGTCAATCCGACCCTGCGGGTAGTATTGTGCAGACGAGTATATAATAACTATAGTCAGGGTTTTGGGGTAATGTTTTAGGGTTTACTCTAGTACTACATACCACTGCTATTATTGCTATGAAGAAGAATAATATCTACTACTGCGGTTAGTACCTATAATAGCACTACCATCGAAACTTTATTGGTAGTATTACCACCACTACATTGCTCTGCTTCTACTATTGCTAGTTCCACCACTATGACTAGGTTATTGTTATTCTCAAGCAGAGAAACCATTTACCTGAATATGAGTTTAGTCTTCTGTTTTATCGTGTTGCTTTGTTAGTATTAGCACGATTTCTATGCATGTAATCAACAGCCCTTTTCCCGAATGGCTGGAAGTGTTGAGTCTACGGGATTAGGGTTTGGTGTTTTCGAATGTTGACAAGGCATTTAGGGCTTGACGTTTGGATTCGGAGGCTGAGGGCTTAAGCTGTCGGTGCTTCGGATTTATTCTTTAGGATTCAGGGATTTGGATTTGTGACTTTGGGCTTTCGATTTTGAGGCGTTTGGCGGCTTGTCGAGTTCGGATCTACAAATCGGTGCAAGATGCGGGTGAGTTGACTTTGCGGGCATCTGGTCCGGCAATGTGTGCGGCGGTATGGCTATAACCTCTGCACGCATGTCCCGGGCGCAAGGACCCAACATCTCCAAAATCAAACACTGTTGTGTTGAGCCCAGGTTCTGTAAAGCCGTGCAGATGCTGCCCAGTACCCTGTGAAGCTGTTTCAGGCTTCTTTTCGAGAAGAGGCTGCTTGCGCCTGCCATCGGCACAGCGCGCGGGCGGCATGTTCGTCGGGCACTCTAAGTAGAAGGCATAGTCTTCCTCGTACCTTTTCTCCAGCGGCCGTGACATTTGGTGCTGGGGGTTCCCTACGCACATGGACAATGATGTTGCCTCAACTCTTCGGCAGTAAGGAAGGCTTTTGGGAAACCGGCCCTGCATACCAATGTATTTATAAGCTTGTGAGCCTTTACGTAGGGCCTCAGGGCTTTACAACTTTGGGGTGCAGGGGCTTTCCAGCTCAGGCTCCTGAATTGGGGGAGTTTCCGGTCAGGGTTTTGGCTTCATGCTTCTCAGCTCGGATCCATGGCTTCCAGCTTCAGGGTTTGGCGTCATCGTGTCGTCCGAGAACTGTTTCAAACAGCAGTCCGAAAGCTGCACCCGAAAACCTGGCAAGCCGCAAGACGTGATTGCTTTGCCGTAGATAAGTTCCTGCAGCCCTAAACCGCAGGCCCTGAAACCTCTAAGTACGGGGCCCTCTCAAGGGTATCTCCAACCAGACTGATGGGCCCACAAACGGCCAGTCGCAGAGCCAAGGAGTTCCCCCGATGCCACCAAACAAAACACGTCCGAACCTAGCCCTAAACTCCCAACGCGACAGCACCCAGCCCAAACCCTACTCAACATTCAATCTTCACCGGCTGAATGGGGCAAGCCCTAAGCCGGTGCCTAGAGCTCAGACTACCACAGTTAGGCCATTTGGGATCGGCTTCTTTGTACGGCTTTCAACAGTCGGCATGTACTGCAGTTACCTTACAGAACCCCAGGCATCAAGCGCTGCAACCCTCTGAAAGCCGAGGTGCTTCTTCAACCGGTCAACACAGGTGAAAAGCGTGCCGTTCTTCTGCCCGTCTAGCGCCGGCATCAGGGAGAGGACCGGGTTATAGTTTTGCCTCTCAGCAAAGTCGGCATCATTGCATCATAGGGGCTTTAACAGTTGGAACAGGCATTTCGAGGCCATTTTAGCAACTAAGATTGTAATCAGGAACCTTGAGGAATAGCATTAATCTCGAACTACTAAACCCACTATATTACACGCCTTTGTGCGACACAAGATTAGCTGTTTTTGCAATACTTCTGAGGCAAAATGCGGAAGTTGCTATACATTCGGATCCACCGTCCCGTCGTCCTCGTTGTTGTAAACACGTGCTTAAGCCTGCGCACTCGATTAGTACAAGCGCGAGATCAGAACACAGAACGCCAACTATAGAGTTGCACATGGCCTAAACTTACAATTTAGTTCGTACTACCCTAGGGTACCTAACAAAAGACCCCTGGCTCCCCATGCGGTGCGGCCCTGATTCTCCTTAACATCCCCTTGTGATCAGGTTTCCAGAACCACAGCAAACTCCAAACAATCAGCACCAGGAAAAACCGTACTGTGAACCGAGCCATTTTTCACAGCAAGCGCCTGCCCCCGAATTCCCAGGACTGAATAATCAGCAGTCCTGAACATGTAACAGTATTATATACATATATATATATATATATATAACTCAAAAGCTTATTCTCGGCTCCATCAACGATTGAAGCAAGTCGCGTCTGAAACCAGGACGCGAATCCCCGACAGTCGGTCGTGGCCAGGCGGGACCTCCGCTGATCATCACTGGGTTTGGTTTATAGCGGTTCTACTTGGCTTGTATGCAAGCTTGGGGGCTGTATGAGGTTGTAGGAACCTAAGCTTAGGGTTTGTGATTGGTAGGTCTTTGCGAAGGTTGGGTTTATGTACGGCGTGGGCTTAGGATTTCAGTGACAGGAGTTTGGTGTTTTGGGACTCAGGTTTACAGTCGCGGGCAGCCTTGCACGAAGATAGATGCATGCAAATAAACACCCTGTCATGTATACAATACATGTACTGTGAACCTGAATAGCTTAAGGTTGCCAGTGGGGGTCATAGGTACAAAAGGAGTACCCGACTCCAGATGGTTGCCTGTTAAGCCAAAACTTCTCCTGAACGTAACGCAACCCTCCAAATTGTAAACACGCAGCGCTCAATGCTCCAAGCCCTTGAATGCTGAGTTGTACGGCTTGCTTGAATCATGGGGTTCGACTTAGATAGCTCCTGTGATTTCGGGGGCTTTTGGCCAACACTTCGAAGTCCTAACGCATGACCTACTAGACCCAATCTTCAGAGACCATGTGATGTCTGGCGCGTAGAGGTTTCCAGCACTCAGGGTTCCCCTTCCTTGAGTAAGCACGGCCTTTGGGTTTATACCAGAGGTAAATCTTCGAAACCTCACGAACGAAGAGCCAACTAGTTGTGAGCCATGTCGTCCGACCGACCTTAACCATTTGTCCTTTTGCTTGCTCCAGGTGGGCCATGTAAAGCCTCTGACAAAAACATCGTAAACAAGACCCTCTTACACCAGGGAAGTGGAGCATATAATTCGATAAGAGATCCCAAAAGTCCACTGAAAAGAAGGAGTTCTTGGATCCCCTACATGCATATTGAGACTCCTGGTCTAAAGACAACCAAAGCACTGGTAGACGACGGAGGGCAACATCGTCAGCTGCGGCTTGTCAAAGCGTTTCCTTGTCGAATCTCTAGGCCTTATAGGGTCTACGTCGATGTAAAGTCCATAGAGACTGGGTAGCCTGCCATCGAGGGTAAGGGGTTAAGGGTATAGGATCACTTGATCTCTGGAGCTGTCGAGGTGTCTGCTGTCGGATTGAAGTGCGTTTCCGCGCTTTTGTACATGCGGCAGGGCAGTGAGGAAGGCAGGATCCTCAACCATTTCACCCGGGGCTCGGGGCACTGCATTTCAATGAAATCGGGTATGTAAGCTACACTCATAGGCTCCGGTGGTGTAAACCTCCGCACGACCTTCTTCCAGTCTATTCTGGCCCTTCCGGTTCTGGCCAAGAGAACTTGTTTTTGCAAGCTCAGCATGCCTTCAGTTTGCTCACAGAAAGCTTTGAGGTTGGCTTCAGGGTTTACGGGTTTAGGAGATGTTTCCGCGAGCTCTTTGACGTCACACCTAGGAGCCTGCCCAACTATACATAGGCCTCAGGGTGGGTTTACTAGAACTATCTCGGTGTATAGCATCGTATGCATATCTTCTTGTTGGGATGCAGTATCGTGATTTCTATGCTGTGTCTTCAAGTCACAGATCGACACCCTCAACCAAAAGTTTAATGCGCAGCTGGTATACAGGTTTGACAGCGTCTTAGGGTGAGCAGCAAAGCGTCAGTGGCTCGTAGGTAAACGGCGAGCAATAGCCGCAGGTCTGCAGGCAGCGCATGACCCCCCCTAAAACCCTAAACCCTAAACCCCTAAACCCTAAACCCTAAACTCTAAACCTCTGAACCCTAAACCCCTAAACCCCCAAACCCTAAAACCTAAAACCCTAAACCCTAAAACTCTACATCTCTAGCGCGACTCTGCCTGTTATATCCCAAGCCGACGGGTTTGAGTACTTGTTACATGTAGCTTGTAACTCCGGTTGAAGATGCATTGTAGCTGGACGCCAGATTCAATATCATGTCGTAGTACCCTAAACCTCCCCAAACCCAGACAGAATCCGATAGCCCAGGTTTGGATCCCCGCCTCCAGAAACACACAGTGCAAAATTGCCTGAATTTCGCATCTGTGAGCCCCAAGACCAGCAATGCTTCGCAATGCCTGATAAAAGCCAAATTCAAGGCAACACCAACAACCTTCTTGCTTAACACCACCCTCAACTCCAGAATGGGCGTTAGGTGTCTTGGGCTTAACGTTATATAGGCCAGGCTCTCGTGGTGGCAACCTTGTCCTCTGAACCCTCATCCCGAACCGCGTCAGAATTCCCTTTAGGCCATTATACCATCCGGACAACCGCAGGCCAAGGTCAACTCCAAATATCGCGACTCCCATCATCAGCTCATCTTAAAAAGTTTCTTCGGATGATTTTGGGTACCTCAAGTATCCGGCAACCCATGAGCCCTCAACCTCTACGGGGGGCGCGAGTGGGATCCAGGGTCTCGCTCAGAGGGGCGACTGGGATTATGAACCAGTCCTAACGGTGTTTCAAGTTGTGGGAATACAGATGTTACTGCTGCACCTGCAAGTAGGTCGCACTTCCTGCAGCCGCTCCACGTTATTCGTTTGCCGAATCATGAACCCTGAACCCTAAAGCCGCATGAACCCGAAACCTGAAACCCCGAACTCTGTCCTTGGCGCAGAAGACAATTCCGAGATCGGTGCGGCAGGCATGCAGGGCGTCGCTGTGACAGGTGACGTTGGGGTTGTTCTCCTCCGTCCTCAAAGATATCCGGGATCAGATGGAAGCTTCTTCAATGGAAGCTTCTTCAATTTTGGATTGGAGGTCGGATGAGAACTCCCTCAGCTTTGCTGACATGTAGGTAGAATACTGGCAGTGTGATCCTGTATGCATAGCGGATAGGCCTCCTCCAATGACGACGACGTCTTCTGCCACAACGACGGCGACGCCGACAAAGACTGCCACTAAAAAAAAGGAAGACATCTGCACAAGGGATTGGTTGACTATAGAGACCCCACAACGAATCTTTAGTTTACTAGAGCGTACCATCCTTAACATACCGATTCCACAAGAAAAGGTTCCCTATCATTCAGAATCAACACGTCACCTGGTTGCTTTAATAAGACACAAAGAAACCTGCGACTGTGCAGTGATTCTAGGGTCTGACGCTGCTCATCCTGAAAAACCCTCAACCGCGGAATTCACGACCGACATCACAACACCGGCTAACCTTGGTCTCAGCCATTAGACCCAGGAAAAAAATCACTCTTCTGCAACATGCTTTTGGGATTCATTGCATTCTTCTGCATAGCCGATACAAGCGGTTCCATAAGGGTTTCTGTACGCATCCGGCTTAGAAGGCTGGGCGCGTGGAGGTTTACCAGCTCACAAATGCAAGCTCGCTTACTGCAGAACCCCGCCGAAGGTGCAGCCTACGCCGCAACCAGACAAGCCTGAGAAACCCTCTGCCGTGCACAACGTCAAGCTCATGCTTCTCCGTTGCTTCTGAAACTCTGGGCCAAAAACAACAAGATTAAATGCAGAATCGCTTGCTGCTACGGGTCTGATACGCCGCATCGTTGTCTTCGCACGCAGGGTTTGGATGCGTAGCAGAGGGCTCTGCGGCAGACGTCTCCTTCAGCACCATGGATGAGAATGGCTGTTCGAGGCTAAGTCTCCCATAATGGGCTATATAATGGGCATATAATAGCTATATTAAGCATATATACCTAGGGGTCCTTATTAAGGGTCCCTCCTTTTACCTTTGGAGTCTACGCTTCAACCTGCAATGCCATATGCTCCAGGCCTCCGAAGAATTCGTCGCGAGGCGACGCTGGGCATCGGCCCCGGCGTCGCTGGTGTTCGTCCATTCGGGAGAGTCCTGTAAACTCCTCCGTCGCAGCATGGGGTATGAGCTTTCTACAGCCGGTCTTAGTAGAGGTCTTGTTGACCTTTACACACTTGTTTTTGTGTGCGTGTGTATATGCGTGTGTGTGTGTTGTGTGTGTGTGTGTGTGTGTGCGTTGTGTGTGTGCTTTGTGTGTGTGTGTGATGTCACAGAACAAGATGCTTCATGATCATCTGTTGAGCATTTCTGTTGTGTAGTCTTGATCAGTATGACTACTCGTGACATATGCGTCGAATCGGAAGAACCCTCATCAATTTGCTTCTGCGAGTTCTGTAACTACAGGGTGCGACGGGCTCTGCTACTGCTGCTGCGGTGGCGGTGGCCCGTGTTGGTGGCGGTGGTGCTGGAGCCGGTGCCGATGCTGTTGCTGCCAGTGATGCTGGCACTTGTGTTGTGGGAGGTGCGGTAGCAGTAGCAGTGATCACGGTCGGGGTCGGGGTCGTCGTGTGGCCGCAGCAGCAGCATAATGCCAACAGAGGCCGCAAACAGTGTGGTTGTATTGTAACCACAGTACCCATGCTCTTACAATATTGCAACAACGTCACCAGCAAAATGGACTATGATTATCATTATTATTACTATTTCTATTCTGAACACTTCTTCTTGATCCACTTGCCAGACAAGCAGTGACATAGCTGACCGAGGGTCAGCGCGGTAAATCGCGGGCTCTGGCAGCTAGCAGTTGGAACGAAATAGTGGTCATCCCAGGAGTACCTGAAGGCAGGTTCTGCAAAACGCACATCTGTAGGTCTCTATGAACCCTGAGCCTTAAACCCGAACCTGCCCAATCACAAAAGGTGACAAATCTGAACTCCTCTGCACCTTACCTGCACCAGGAAACTCTTGACACTCAGTCCATGCAGCAAGGTTCTAGTATCTTGTCGCCGCGGCAACTTGTCTGCAGCACGATCACCATAGTAATTCTGGCCGCTTACGACATTCGGGTTTACATTCTGAGGTTGAGGGTGTTGAAGGATGTGGGGCTTGGCGCCAAGATTTACCTGAAAGCCACCAAACAAATAAACCTTAACCCTAAACCCAAAACCCTTAGACCCTAAACCCCTAAGCCCTAAACCCCTAAACGACGCCCTCAAAGTGAACGCCGGACCCGGGGCTCACGAGTAGTAGCGGCTCTCGCACCAGAAGCTTGAGGACGTTGGCCTCAATTCCTGCTGTATCTAGGCTTCTGCTGTTAGGTTTGGGGCTTTCGGGTTGCTGTTTGCTTCGGGTTCGGGGATTTCGGAGCTTGGGCTTAGGCCCGTTGGCTGCTTTGAGCGGGATTCTGCCAGATGTTGCTATTGATGCTGCTAGCACCACTAGTAGAGCCCCCCAATCTTGAAAGTGAGCCAACTCTGAACAACCAAACCGATGCAGAGATAGAGAGCCCAGATAGGGGCAGCATTCACCCTCTCAGCCTAATCCTTCAACCATCTTAATTTAAGGACTGCAACTTCGATTCACCAAATCCTGCACTCCAAATTCTACGCCCTCAATGCCAGACTTCCAAAAAGTGCAAGAACTTTAAAACCTTCATCAAGCTTGCATGTCAATCTGCTCTTTGTGTGCACAAGATTTACAGATTACGGAGTACAGCACGTCAGGCCTGCTTTCCAATACTACCGGTAAATCGCACATACCAAACCCCGCAGATTATGTAGGGACCTGAATCACTAGTTAGAACAGGTCTTTGGGATCTGTGCGGACAGAATTCGGAGGCGAGTGCAGCTGCAACTGCCTTATGCATCACATGAATGTCCAGCTTCGATTTGAGCTGGTCATCCTACTATCGGTAATTTTATGAAGTGATTTTATTGCAAGTGATCTTTCTCCGCACCCTGCCTGGTTCTTCGATTCGAAGGTCTCTAAAAAGCTATAAATGCCGGTGAGGTCGGTAACCGAATACCTTGGACACGAGGTTTGCGACTCTGGGATTGAAGAGGCAGCGAAGGATCGGGGGCTAAAGACTTGGGTTCGTACATATAACATATACTACAATATATCTCATAACCCTATTCTGCTTATGAAGGCCCCTTTGTTCGGTCCCTGAAAGCAGCCGACCTTCAGAAACAAACAACGATGGCTGCAAGCCTTAAACCCAATTCGGACATGCCGCCACATCTGCGGCTTCGGGATCCAACGCAGAACTTCAACATTGGGAGATTCGTGGTGCGACTCAGCACGGAAATTTGGTGGTGGAGGGGGAGCCAGGAGTCCTCCATGCCTGAAAGCATTGCCCTTCTCTTGGGTTGTACCCAGCATACATATAGCCAAGGCACACCGTGTCCAGCGAGAAATGGCTCCTGAGGTCACCATTTTCCCTAAAGCCTAATCCAGAGACCGATTGGCTGGGAGATGTTGTGAGAAGCTTGAGGACGCTATGTGGATTTGCATATATGAGAAAAATATATATATATATATATATATATATATATATATATATACATATATATATATAGCATATGTATATACAAAGAGAGATGTGTTTGTATGTGTGTGTGGCATGCATGTACTCGTGCATGCATGTAGTTGGGATGGCTCTGGACGAGAAGACTATGCTGGCTAGATATCCGGATGCGCCCGAAGCCCCGGAATCCTAGTAAAGTGACCCCTCTGAACCCAAAGGTCCGAAGTAACCAAAAGCCCCTAAACCAGGGACTTGAATCAAGGCACAAAAGATCATCCGTAACTCCGGAACCCGAAAAGTCGACAACATATTGTTCATTGTGTTTTAACTTCAAGCTGTCCCAGAACACCTCAGCGCCAAACCTCTCCCAGACAGCAAGGGCACTCGAGATGCTGATGGATCGCCGATGTTTCCGCCGGCGGGGCCAGTGTGCTGATAGCCAGAAGGAAGCCTCATAAGCACCAAGTAATGTTGCGGCAGTGCGCTTTCAATGTCTTACGAAATCTCAAGAACTTCTACATGGCTCGGCTTACGCGTCAACGAGGCACTAGACCCATGTCTCTTGCCCCTTAAAGGCGGTGGTTCGTTGCGTGGTGACAGTTTTAACGGACGCTGCCAAGACTCATACGACTTAAACAACCCCCAACCATGAAACCTGGAAGAGCAGTCTACAACCAGCCGAGAAGCCCCCAACTGCTAATGGCAACCCTTGAAACCCGAAAATCCCTCCCCCCCCCCCTCCCCCCCCTTGAGCCGACACCGCTAAAGCTGAAGCTCTATAATCCCCAGAACCGTCAAGTATCAATTTCCAAATCTTAAGCTTTACCCACTCTCTCCATTGGCCTCGCGAGCTTTTCAAATCTTGTTCAAGGGTGTGTAGCCGAACTTCCGAGTTAGGCTGAATTCAATTCTGATCTGCTGGGGAAACACACAATTCCTCCCATGACGGAGATTTCCAAACCTTAAACTCACGACACAGGTACTGATCCAGCAACTCCCTAATTCGTAACAGGACTTCCTGCATTCGCTCAGGAAGTTGATAAAGCGGACACTAGTTTAGGGCATGAACAATGGGATCCTTGCGAAAAGAATCCCTAGCCCCTCGACAGTAACATCCTCAAGGGACCCTGTACTCCTCATGAAGTATATACTATTTGGGCACATGGGCCTTATACCCCAAATCTTAAAGTACCCAAAGTATAGAACCCTTATGGTACCCTTTAAAAGGAAGGGTACTTAAGCTTCACTGGCAGGTCTTTGGGCCGCGAAACAGATCAGACACAGCAGGAAGAGCGGAAGCGACTGCAGGAGGCCAATGAGTCCATCCTCACGCTCTACTAGGGTGTTTAGGGTTTAGGGTTTAGGGTTTAGGGGGGATACTTGAAATGAGGATCCTACTGTCCAATTACATCCTCGTCCTAGGGTCCAAGTCCCAATGTTCGTCACTGTTGGTCTAGACCCACCCACCCACCCACCCACCCACACACGGCGGCTTTGAAGCCTAGTACTGAATTCTGCATTATGGCCTCAGGCTTTGTCGTGGTTTACCGTTCAGGTCTTTAACAAACGGTAGCAGAAAGCCTGAAAAAATCAAAGCTAGCCCTATGCCCAATGCCCCCAGGCAATTGGGAATGTAGGGCTATTTCCTTCCTGCATTCAGGAAACGGGTAACAAGCGCTCTAAAAGGGAACCTAATGCGGACAACCGTCCGCGAGGCGGAGGGGCAAAATACGAAGGAGCAACATGCTCATCGATGCTGTACTTCACTTTAGACATGGCCAGTAGATTGGAACGATAGCAGCATGTACAGCTATGCAGCTTCACTTACCTGCAGCAAAAACCACATCCGTGAATCACTGGGGTTCATGTCTTGAAACCATAAACCCTGATCTCAAAGCCTCACCAAAAGGTACACAGTGGGGCTCTTGTTTCGGCCTCTACCTCCAACCGCTCGTGGAGGATGTCCATCCGAAACTTCATCGTTTGGAACCTCACCGTTCTGGTTGCTTTCGCATATGACGGTTTTGGTTCTCCTAGACTAGACCCGAAAATGCTTTGAAAGTCACAAGGCTTAGAGCTTCATGCGGATCTTCACAGCGTTGAAGTACAACGGCCAGATTAAAAAGCTTTGGGATTCAGATTCTTGTTTTCGCATGTAGGGGTCTGCAGTTCAGAACCCACTTCCCTAAGTCCTCTCCGCCGACACTTCATCAACTATCGGCTCTGTGAATCAGTATTGGAGGCAAGTTCGCTGTTTGTGTGCTTGTTGAGGGGAGCGGCCGAGCTTTGGTGGCTGGCTACAAGCTTGCAGCTGGTTCCAGGCGCTTTTGGTCCAGGTTTCATGCCAGATGTTGCCAGGTTGAGCCGATGTTGAAACAGCTCGGAAGATTCTCACAAGACTTATATATGCAGGATTGGGGGAGCTTTCAAGATGATGGGGCGAGCCGCAGCTGTAGCTGGCGAAGTTGGTTGTTTCCATGCCCGCCGACGCGCCGACATTGTTGCGGCCGCGGCGAACGAACATATGTCCAGACCATTTCTGTTTCTCAAAATTTTGACCCAAATATTGGGCAATCCTCGTTCCAACCCCATGGGTGCCGACTTTACAGCCTGGACCTTGCTCTATTTTCTGGGCGCGCGAACCCGAGGCTGGGCTGATTGTTTGTGCGCAGACCTCGGCCGGACAGGTCCAGGCCCTCGCCCGGCGTCCCAATCCCGGCCCGTCGCCCCTGCTTCGCAAGGCCTGCGTGCTTCCCACCGGTGTTCACAGCCACCTGTGTTGCTGCTGTAACCAGCGTTCATGCGCATGGCTACCGGGGCAGAGAAACGGCTTAAGTGAACTGATCCGACTTCTGCCCTTGCTGTAAACCCCACAAAGTATGCTGCACTGGCGCGAAGCGGCACTCGCAGCCAGAACATCTGAAAACCCACGCAAAGCAGTCCCAGCCCGCACACCTCCAAGCCCTCTGTCGGACCCAGGGGCTGCATGAAGATGTCGCTAGGATCTTTTTTGTGGCCTTTCAGGGCCAGTGATAAGTAACACCCCTAACCCGTCTGAGAGGACGCAAGGAGGTGTCGTAGGCCGCCGGGTTTTGGGCGCAAGGGCTCAGGCTCATGGTTTAGAGCCTGAGCTTTAGGTACCAAGTTTCGGGCTTGGGCCCCAACCTCAAATCCTCCGCAACAAGCTCTGAAGCCCCGAACTCATCGCCCTTCAAGCCCGGCAAAACCTCAACTCCCAATTCTGCCAACCGAGCCGAAAGCCGTAAGAAGCCCACACTGGAAATCCTAAAGCTGTCAGAGCCCCGAACGTCAGTTTACAGCTGTTAGGTTAACTTAGGCTGTTTGCCGTTTGCGTTTGCGGCTGTAGGCCTGAATCCTAGACGCCCCGAAACCCTTAACCAGCCGGACTCCCAGAAGTGCCAGCGCAAAGCCTTGACAAGCGTACAGCAAGGCTTTGTGTAAGGCTGAGTTCGGGTTTGTTGTTTAGAGCTTGCTGTTGGAGGTTAAGGGCTTGGGGTTTGGAGCGAAAAATTCCGAAAGCTGTCAACCCCTGAGACTTCTTAGTCAATTTCCGCTCCTGTGGCATGGGCCGTGGATGGCCTTGCTCTCCGGCGCGCTCGCTCCTGTGTAGCTTCGGACTATTTGGCATGTCCGAGTACATTAGCTCTGGGGCTCTTGATGCTATGATGCTGCATAACCTTCAACCCACTCGGAAACGATCGAAGTAGATTAACGTGCCTGCCGTAGAGCTGCGGATTTGGCGTATGGCATTTCAAAACTTTTGGTGGTTTAGGGGTATTCGAGATTGGTGCATTTGCGGACCAAGTGGTTTGCACAGGGCATGAAGGTTTTTGGGAGCGTAACCCAAATATTTTACCACAGCCCCAACGTCAAGTAGAGGCTAAGTAGATTAGCGTTTTGGGGAGTATCAGAGCGACTATATCAACATGTGGTGGAGATCCCAGATAAAGGCCACAGAGGGTAGACGCTTCAGTTGCTAATGGTAGCTTCCGCTTCGTGGCTGAGACCCCCCCGAAGAGCAGCAAATTTCGGTGCTACAGGCTTAAGTTTAGTGAAGTTTCCTGAGATGGTTTTAGAAGAGCTGCAGGATGTTTAGGAATGTTGGAGGTCCAGTATTCGCATCATTCTGGGTGTTTGGGTTTCCGGGCTCGGGTGCTAATCTGGGCTTTGTGCTTTCTTCCAATCGCAGACAAAGGCACGTTGCCCAGAACCACCACTGTCGTCGCTGCCGACATTGCTGACATGGGCGGCATGGCGGCGACGAAACCCTAACCTCAACCTACCCTAAAACTCGTAACCCCAAACCGCAAAACCCCAAGCCCAAAAAGCCCGGTGTGATTTCGGAGCTTGTGGACGACTCGTTCGTGCTTGGAGCTTCAATCTTATCATCTGGATAGTCTGGGGTTTAGGATATATCCGACATCCCAACCCTCAATACCTTAAGGCCTATACCTGCATACCGCAACTCTGGAACTCAAAAGTACTGGCCTCATCCTCGGCCGCAAGCATCAGCTCAAAAGAGCTGCAGAAGAGCGCATCGTTGCTTCAGCGAGTAAGGTTTAAAGCGCTCCCTCTAGGGCTTGTGTATAAGGGTCCTGTTGAAGAGGCTTTTAGGGCACAAGGGTTTGAAGACTGCGGCTTTAGGCTCCAACAGTTCGAAGGGCTTTGACTTCTCTAGAGCCTGGCTCATCTTGAAGCTGCCTTTGAGTCCAATACCCACCCTACACCCCAAACCCTGAACCTGCTTCCTTAAGGGAAACCCAATACTCCAAAACCCACAATGCATCTACTTCAATAACAGAAACCAAAACTTCAAAGCCCATAATAGGTGATAATTCTATCAAGAGATGCTTCTTAGATGAAGCTGGGCTCTCCTCCAGAATTTGGCGGGCCCTCGACCTCGAAGCCCAAGTCCTCGGTCTGGGAGCCCCAAACCCCCGACCCGAAACCCTGAGCCCGCAAAACTCCGGAAATCCCCCAAAACCGCAAACCCCGAACCCGGCGCGCTTTTTCCCCCGTCGTGTGCAGAGCTGGGTACGCGACAGCCTATGACCGAACGCAGGGTGGAGTCTCCAGCGGCCAGAGTTCTAGTCCCGGGCATCTTCACTTCCCCTCCAACATTAACAGTATATAGACCTATAGAGGCCTCTCATCTTCTCCCTGTTTGCCAGGCAGAGAAGACATGAGGAGGCTCAAGGGGTAGCATAAATCTTGCTACAAAGGGTGATTTCAGGGCTGCTATACTGCCTCGTCCTTTCGAGGCCGCCGCTGCTCGCGGAGAAGAGACACTTCTTCAAAAATGGGCGCTCTCTGTATGCGCCTCTATGTAAACAGACAACGGCCCCCCCTCAAACACAAGGGGGCCCCGCTTCCCACGGAGGAGTTCAGGCTTTAACCCCACCTCCAGGGCCCTGGGGGATCAAAAGCCATCGAAATGGATGAGGCAATAAGGCATGAGGGTTTTCGGGGTCGTGAGGTTGAGGCTTTCATGGCCTCAGCCTCTGGGTCTCAAGATTGAAGGCTACAGGTCTTTCGTGTTTGGGGAGTCTGTCTTGATGTAACCATACTTAGGATGTTGAGCACCTGGCCCAGAGCCCTGAAGGTGGAATACCCACAGATCCTCCCATCGGAAGATCGGTAAGGGACCCCACCAGACGAGACGGACACAAGGACCATGGGGTTTTGGGGTTTTGGGCCCTCCTTGCAAGGACTCGAAACCTTAGAGTTGGGTACTGCCCCCATACAGTAACAGTCTATAATAGGGCTACTAGAAAGGGCCTAATATATCTATATTATGAATATTATCCAACTGTTACTGAGAGGGGGCAGTACCCAACCTTAGAGCATTTCGGTCGTCAAGTCCCTGCGCCCATGTGGTCTGGAATCTGGCTTCTGAAGTTGCCCGCATGCCAAAGCCTCAACTTGCAGCCTGTAGGATCCAACAACCGTAAAGTTGTAAAGGAGCAACTGCTCCAAAAGCATCCATAATATGAACAACAGCAGTAACACAAACAAAGAGATAAATGATGAAACTAAATCCACCGCCCTAAACCCGAAGCCCTAACCTCACACCCCAACACCCCTAAACCATCAGCCCTAAACCGAATTCGCGGGCTTCTACTCCAGAACCCACCCTCTAGGCATCAAGGTTGCTCAGTGTCCGACACTGCCGTCGTGACCTCGGACTGTCGAAATGCATCAGGCTTGTTAAGGGTTGAGGGTTTAACGGCGTATAGGGCTTGCGGTATCGAGCTTCGAATCTAGATGGTCAGGTTTAGGTTGAGTGTTCGATTAAACTCTAGCTTGCAGGGCGGAACAATAAACCGGAGCAGCCGGAGTTGGGCAATTCAACAAACACAGCTTGCAGGGAATGACAGCAGCTTCTTGCTGAGGCTGCTGCCTTGGAGGTTGACGACACTTGGGGTGCACTTGTGGATTAAAAGGGTTTAGGGTTTGATTAGAGTTTGACAACAGCAGGACTGTAGTTCTGATGGCATGGAGGTTTAGGCTTCAATCCCCTTGCGTTGCTGTATCAATGTCTTCGTTCACATACCCCAAAACCCGAATCAACCACATCGTCCCCTTCATATTATGTTATTCTATTCCAGAGCTTTCCTAACTCTTCAGGACCCGAATGTTAAGGTGCGGCCCCTTGTGCGGCCGGACTGCAGCCATCTGTACATTGACATCTCGCTGAGCAGTGTCTTCGGTTGGAAGTTCTTGGGCCTGTGCCAACCTCGAGGTTTGGAGCTTCGAGTGTTTGTTTCTACTGGAGTTTAGGGTTCAGGAATTGGGGTTCGGTTTGGGCTTAGGGTCTTAGGGAGAATAAGGGTCGACGGCAACCCCGAAAAAGTAGCAAGACTATCTAGGAGCAAAGCGTGAGTGCGCGCACGAGTGCTTCAGGGCGTTCTGATTACGATCTGTGTGTTGCGAGTGGCAGCTGTCTCTGTGAGTGGTTCGACTGATGGGCAAGGGGTGTGCGGTGTTGACCTTAGAAAGCCAAATGAGGATCCTACAGCGAAAGCCCTGAACCCTAATCTCAAAACCTGAAACCACAGTCCTACATCACCCGGACAGTAGACGGGCATTTACTCGAAGAAACACTATGCCTGTCGACACCCCGACCCCTTTAGCGGGATGCTAGGGATGTTGTTGGCTTTTTGGTTGGGGAGTCTTTGTGCATGGTTGATGTGACGGGAGTCTAGCAAGGTAGCCTCAAACACGAGACAGCCAGAGTTAGACTCCTGCCCGCTTTGGAGGGTTTAGGGTGTAGGGCTTCGTGTGGATCCGTGGCTTTAAGCACGACTGTTAGCTTTTCGGGTTGTTGACTTCAGCTTACGACTTATGGCTCAATGCCCCAAGCGACCACCAGCATGTTCTATGTCAAGACCTAGATCCCATCACCTTGCCGCATTGATGATATTGCAAACCGGAATGATACCACCCATGATGGCGTTCATGGTGCTGCGGCTGCCAATGCAAGAATCCATCCTACAGTGGTAAGCTGACATGGCAAGGATTCTAAAGCCCTTTTTGACCCACAGCCCTGTAGCAACCATCTCCTGAAGAGCCACCTACCACGTGTGCGACGCAGGCGGGAGAACAGGTAGAAAATTGGAACGCAACCATATGTCCTTGGCTTGCGCATGGGACCAGGACTAGGCTTGGAAAGTACTGCTTCAAAGATCGAAGGACACCCCCCCTCAGCGCCACAGGCAAGTCAGGCATATGAGGGTCAGAGCATATGTGGATCCTGGAGAGGAATCACAACCGACAATAGCAGCTGCATGCTAGCCGCACTTGGATGTGTACTCAGCTCTAAACCCAGGAAGTCCCGTCTCCTTCACACGTCCGTGTTCGACCAACCGTGACAGTACGGAGAACTTCGAAACCCCAAAGCCCGACAGGACAAAAGATTAAAGTAGCTACATAACTCACATGAAAAAGCCCATCGAAACACAGGTAGAGCATCATAAATGAGCTGTCTCATCTGCTTGGGCTCCTGCATGAGCTGTCTTTTCGCGACGTCAATCATCAAGCCGAAGGCAGTACTTCGGAGATGAGCTTGAATGGTTCTCTTCGGTATGTGCTAAGGTAAAAGCCAGAAAGTTGGAATATGATTATCCTAACCCTTCTATGGTAAATTATAAGGTATCCTACCATGAAACCATATTCCAACTTTCTGGACTTTCCTACAAGGTGTAAGGCTCTTGGTCGAGCCAGAACATGGCAGGCCCATCGTGCAGCTTGTAAACAGCACGCAAGCCTGCAGCTAAGCACTGTGCGAAATTGCCGCAATCCAGAAGTTGCGTGAGGCCAACAATGGATGTATGGTAGTGCGAACAGTAACTTCGGGATCTAGGCGTCAAAAACCGGCAAGCAACACAAAAGAGGCCGGACCAACTTCCTGTATTCTTCCTAGGGGTCCTTGCTATACTTATATACTACAGTGTACTCCAAAACCTTTTTCTAATTATTGAAGCCCTGCATTAGGCTTCTGAACCTTGGCAGGCTTCACCGCTGCGCCATATGGAAGGGGAAGCACGCGTGCCAAGGCCACGTGGAAGCAGTAGGCCCACCTCTGCAATCAAGGGGATAGAAGCTTTAAAACTAGACTGGAAACCCGAACCCCCCTCCAGCCGCCCTCTCCAAAAACATGCAAGATAACAGCAAACTTACCAACTACCTCCACGCTCTCAAATTCCACAGTAGTTATTTGGGTCCCTACAACATACCTTCACACACCCCCAAACCCTATTCTGATTAATTAATGTTGCCGCATTGAAAGCTTCCTTTCGATTGGTGTTTGCATTGCTTCGGAGTTTCAGGTTACGGCCGAGGGCTTGGTGTTTAAGGGTTTTAGGTTTTTGCGGGCTTACTGTTTGGTGCTTTAAAATGGTTTCGGGCTCGGGGTTTGCTCTCATACTCAATTCAAAGGTCCCGGAATGTGCGATATTGCTTTCGGCCTCCAATATTGAGCGCAACAATAAACTGCGCAAACTTCCAGTTTCGAGAGTAATTCTATGTAAGGGGATGTCTGTGTGCCTCCATACCATTTCTGCCCTTCCCTAAGTCATGAGGGCTTGCCAAAGGCGACCATGGATTTACACTACATCCAGTGTTGCAGCTTGTCGTCGTCCTGTTGGTCCTCGTCCTTGCCGTCGCGTGAGTCAGCAGCGGCAGGAGCAACATCAGCAAACGCAACCACAGCAACAACGCAGCTTCTAAGAACGATGAACAATCAACCACAACGATATCAGCAACAGCCTAGACTAGACAGAAGAACACCTGAGGATGAGGATGTGTACTTATAGCGATGACCACTGTTGTGAAAATCAAGATGATGTTGACTCATCGCTTATGCTGCTGCTGATGATGATGATGATGGCGATGATGATGTTGATGATGGGTGATTTGATGGCGGCTGTGATGATGATGATGATGATGGCGGCTATGGTTATGATGCTATAGTAGTAGGGTCGGGTCGAAGTGACATTTAGAAGTCTTGCCCAGTCTCTTCAGACAAGTTTGCACCCTTGTCAACTTGCCTTCTCCCTGTCAACCCGCTTGCTCCTTCTTCTCGAACTTTCTAACCCAGACGCCATCGCCGTCAGCACCATTATCAGCATCATCATCGAAATCTTCATCCTCATTCATGATGCCCGATGCCAAGGTTACCATCGCACCCTCACGTGTTGAAACGACCGTCACCGCCTACAAAACCGTCTTTAGAAGCAGGCGTCGGCATTATCATCAGCGCCATCTTCATCTTCATCATCCTCATACTCGTCACAGTTCAAGAAGCAGCAAGTGAACATGGAATCACATCAACATAAGGTGTGCGCCCGCACAGCACAGGCGTAGGAAAGTGAAGCATGCCTGAAATCATTGCAGCCATGGCGCAGGGACCACATGTTGAGCCATGGTGTCACGCCATGTGAGTCGTAGCTGTTCAGCGTATCGGTGATCATCAAGGACACAAGAGCCTTGTTCAGCCGTACTCAAAACCCTAATAAATCGAAGACCGAAATCCTGCACGCATAACCTTTCTCATATTCTACTCACGCCCGCACAGCTTTGAACTACTGTCCGGGCTCGCGAAACGCTAAGGAGGTTCTTGAGGGGTCTGGGGCTTTAGCTGCCCCGGAACCCGAAACCCTGAAAGTTTGTATCCTGAACTCCGGTTTGGTGGTGTGGCTAACGAACTCGGATTCGGAGAACAGGTCGAACTTTTTCTGTTGCGTTTCAGGGCTGCTAAACCTGGTGCTTGCCGTACCAAGAGAGTAAAACATAGCACCAAGACTATCGCAAGTACAACTACGACGACATAATTCGGAGGCTTGGAAGTGCGAGCTCGAAAGTTGCACACCCCTCCAGACACGAGAGCCTGGCCAAGACAGATGACAAAGAATCGGAACAGCCTAAACCCCTAAAGTCCTACAACCTCAACTCAGAACCTGCAGTTAAGGATCACGCTTGCTCTCCACTTTCTGTCTTCCCTTCCCTGTCTTGCTGCATCACTCGTACGACTAGTATAGGCGCCTAACAACTACCAATACCATCCGTTAGGGTTCCTTAATGTACGCATATCCTAACATACCCAAAACTTGTTCTGAAAGCCCCTATACTGAACCTACCTAATTTTGCTCAAACGTACTGCAAAACCAGTTCAGATTAAGGTCCCTTCCTAAACCCTGAACCCCAAGCCCTAACCCGTAAACCCTAAGCCCTGAACCCTAAACTCTAAACCCTAACCCTACCAGGCCCTAACCCCTAAACCCTGAACCCCGAACCCTAACCCTAAAGCCGTTGTAAATTGCCGACAACTCAGGCCCAGGCAAACTCGATGGCGCGGTACCGCAGACGCTCCCAAGTCGTGTTGAGTGGCGTTAAGTCACCTGAGATGGAGTTTAGGGTTTAGGGTTGAGGGTTTAGAGTGTGGAGGGTTTAGGGCTTAGGGTTTAGGGTGCAGCCCTGTCTCATCAACGGCTTGTTTCCGATAGATATGCATGTTGCTTTACGCACGCCGAAGAGTGCCTTATTCCATCTCGCCGATATCATCCGCACATATCTAACGACCTGACACATATGCAGGGGTACACGTAGTTGTGCTCTTTCCTGGTGCCGCCAGGACCCAGACACCCCAGGGTCTTCCCGACACACAAAACGCTTGAACCACAGAAGGCACACGCGCTGCAGAAGGGCTTCAAGTCGGAAAGACAAGGATTCAAAGCTCTGAGAAGAAGCCCTTGGAAATCAAGGAGACGTATTCCTTCGGGAGCGAGTATGTCAGGTTAAGGTTCTTAGCCTCAGATGTCAGGCCAGGGGCCGAAATTCCCGAATTCTGGCAGCCGCAACGGCAGCATCAGCTCCCCCAACACAAGCAAGAGCACAAGACGTCTAAATACTCCTGGTGTCTCACTACAAGTAAAGCAATAGGTAGAGCAAGAATGAGTTTATAGTTTTGAAGATGAAACCAATATCGGATCCCAGGGGCAGCGGCCGTACACCATTGGGTTGCTCAACAGCAGCACGATCTCGGCAATGGCATTTTCATGCACAACAGGGTTTGGGACAGGGCAGTGTTGTAACGTTTGTCTAGACTGTCGAAATCTCCAAGCAGCCGTAAACAACTATAAACCCAACGAAACCCCGCAAGAACCTGTTGACACCCTAGACAACCTCGCAACCTGAATCTTCTTAATGGAGAGACCACACAGGACCCCTCAGTGCGATGTTCAAGGTTGAGGGCCAAAGGTTTTGGCAAAGCCTAAACCGACAGAAGTTCAAGGTTTTGGCATGCTCTACACGTGGTTTGAAGTTCAGTATTCGTACGATCATTCTGCGGTATATAGGGGTGTAGTTGGGATATGTTGTATTGGCATTCCAACAAAGCACACATATGATGTAACTATTGATGCAAGTTCCTATGCTATCGGGCCGCAGCTGATAATGGGAGTACACTAAGAATCTCCCGACCGATATGCCCAGCCCGAATAAGCTTAGCGATCTTGGCAACCCTAAACCCACATGCCATTCGGACAGACCCGCAGATCCTGATTTGGAAGCTATTGTAACAGCTCCAGACCCAACTCTGCATAAAGCGTAAAGATGTCAAATAAACAACTCTGAAATGCTGCAGCATGTATGGCTTGTCCGACGGATCCTCAATTTTTGCAACAACTTCCTCTGAACCTACGTAAGCTTTGGGTGAACAAACCCAGAACACGAGGATCCCAGCCCTTTCTCTTAACAGCTCCGGAATCATGAACACGCGGACCAAGTCATCCCCGAACTCTTCCCAAACCCTTAACCCCGAACCTTAACACGACCCCGACACAGTCACTGTAACCAAGATCCTCGCCACTATCATCAGCATCCAGTACTGATGGACCGCGGCTGCCTAAGCGGGAAGGGGGGGTCTTTATGTTGTTCGTGCAACAGGTGTCATGAGACTCAAACCCGAAACCCTCAATCCAGAGCAACGCACACCGCCATTGGCGGTAGTAGGCCACCGGGCGGAGCGATCTCTTTCCCTGTACCCTTTAACGGGCGGAGCACTTAATTTTGCCCATCTAAGCCGGCTCCAATTTTTGGCCCTACCGTGGGGACTTCGGTGACTTGTAAGTAGGGCATCAATAAACATCAGAAGTCCCGAAACCTCAAAACCCAAAACTTTAAGCCCTAAACTCCAAGGCCCTAAGCCCAAAACCTGAACCCGATTGTTCAGGCAACCAGCCCCTGACGGTAGGCCCCTGGCAATTCTCTTCTTGAACTTTGCTGGCCACTGGAAAGATACCTCGAGAACGCCGCGGCTTGTAGAAACTTGTAGAGTTGGGGGTGTGGGGTTCAGGGCTTATGCTTAGGGCTTGCCATGATCTACTGAGTTCTACTCACAAACTCACTGTCCCATGCTACGAATGAGCCCCTGCTCTAAAATCAACACAAGGGCAATGTTTCAAGCCGCGCTTCAATAGAGCCGAATCACAACGAAACGGGAACTTGGGGGGCCCACGGACTTCCCTCTCCTACACAGTTGAGGAGTCGATTCCTTTAGGAAGCCGTTAAACCAAAGTCGACCTTGGGCTCCCGTAAGGATGCGGGGTTTAGAGGCGCTGGAAGTATTGCTGTCGAGGCACCATGCCGATGACGAAGAGGTCTCCCCCAATGGGATGGCTTCCGCTATCTGGCAGCGCAGGCTGGTGGTCCAGAAAGTCGCACTGATTCATGGATCATGAGGAGAAAGCTCCAGAGTCAGGAACCCAACCGCCCTCTAACTGCTACAGTAGCAGAAAAAGCATCAAATTGACGAAGCCCCAAAAGACTAATGCCTCGAGCAATGCGAAACGAATAGACTTGAAACAGCCTAACAACAACGACGACGACGAGGACTGCTATCTGCTGACTTGCTGTCCTCCTCCTCCTCCTCCTCCTCCTCCTCCTTCCCTCCTGCTCCTCCTGCTCCCTCGTCCTCCTTCTCCTCCTGTTGCTCCTGCTGCTTTCGCTGTCAACAATGCTAAGTACTGCATAAGCTCTAACTCTTTCAGCACAACGAGAATGAGATCAACACCGCCACCGCCACGAGTAGTAGCAATAGCAGCAGGAGTAGCAGTAGCAGGAAGTAGGAGTACTCGCAAAGTGTCTGTACTGTGACCTGCCACAGCCATAAATTCTAGCTCGAGCTGCTGTATGGAACGAAGACGTGAGCAGTGTAGCTCACCGCCAGCAAAATCCATGTCGCCTTGTGCGCAGCTGGAACATCAAAAACTTTTGGAGGTTCGACGTTTCGGGTTTGCAAAGTGAGGATTCGCAGGTTACGGCTGAGGGTAAACTCAGCACAAGCGTCGCTGAACCGTGTACACACCATGAACGCTTGAAACCGATGCCTTGACTCCGAAGGCGCATAGAAGTAGCATGCAAGGGAATCCTAGACCACGAACCCCAAATTCAACACCTGAGATAGGAGCCTCAGTCATTCATTGTACATCCTGACAGACTGCGAAGCCCTGTGAAACTCACCATGGCCCCATAAAACAAGCGCAGACAGACCACGGCCTAGCCTGTGGGGATCACTTCGAGGTTAGGGCTTATTAGGATTTAGGGTTTGGGTGCAGGTGCTATCAGAATTTAGGTTCAGGGCCTGATTGAGGGATGTAGGTCCCAACCACAACCTCCTGAGAACCGCAAAGTGGCTAAGGCAGTTTTCCCAGAACAGCAGGTCAGGAAAGCCAGGAAGAAGAAGCCAAACGTCCTTGGCGCGAGGTGGCTAAACCCGGGGCGAGGTCCTACACCATGCGAAAGGCTCGGCAAGACCACGCAACCACGAGGATCCTACAGAACCTCATTTGTCCTCCATAAAACAGCGAGGCGGATTTAGTCAGGCATCTTCCAGCAGCTTGGGTTTCTGCTCGCAAGTATACATATCTAGTTTTGTTTTAGCCCTTCCGCAACAGGGGCTTACGAATACTGCTGGCATGACGACCTGGCGATGCCAACTTAAAGCATGATCGCGATGGAGACGTTATGCTCCTGGTCACCCCCCTAATCCGTAAGCCTTACATACGCCCAAAATTCCTGCAGACTAGAATCAATCCAGAACCTAACCCCTGCATCCCCGAAGCATGAACCCCTGATTCTTGACTGCAGCCAACTGTCCGAGCAAAGAACAGTGGCATCTGACAGTCGGGGCTTTGCACTTTTCGGGTTTTGGGGTTTGGGTTCAGTTGTAGGGCTTAGCGGCATTCAGGCGGGTTTGGGGCCTGGGGAGTTGAAACTCAAGGCCTGTTTTAACTTGGGAGCCGTTGTGCATATGTCGGAGTAGCTAATCCCAGCCAACCAGAAGCACAACACCTTGTTGCAGTGGTTGAAAGCCGTCTGTAGTCCTCTGGTTCTCTGTGGGTGGGTGCCTGCCTACTTTCGGGCACCAGAAGGGTCTCAGGTTTCATGAAACGCTCTGAGCGAAATACTTGGAGATGACACAGTTTTGAACCCGAATACTTACATGCACCAATACCCCTGTAAGCAGGGTCCCTGCATTCTTCTTTGCCCGACATGGCTCGTAATTAGTAGAACAAGGGAACCCCAACAAAAGACACACGCCTGCTTTGCGAGAGCCACGTGATGTAGGAATTTGATTAAGAAACCTTGGGTTCCTTATATGAAGCCTAATGAATTGGGGGTTACAGGCCTAGGGTTTCTTAATCAGGTTCCTACATTTGTCCTACTCCTAAACTCTGAACTCCTCCGAAGCTCCGATCCCAAGAGACTCAAAGAGAAGTCAGAGCCATAGCTTAGGGTCAGGATTTACTGCTTCGGTTTAGGGGTTTCGTTCTTCGGGAGGCGCTGGAAACTGTGGTCCATGGCCGCGTGGCTCGGGTTTACAAACTCCCTCTCTATCCCCAAACCCGGAGATACACGCGTAATTCTATCCCCTTTCCAAAATGACAATCCCTAAACGCTTGTCCCCAAGAGAACAGAAGACGATGTGCCGGGCTGCCTCATACACAGGTGCATATAAAGCGCTTTGACGGAAGCCCTTCGCCAGAGGGTAGAGGTTGATGGGAATGCAGAACAAAACCAAAAGGGCGTTAGAGCTTGGGGTTTAGGTAAAGCTTAGAGACATTGAGCGGTCATTAAAGGTTCAGGCTTTGATAAGGGGTTTGCGTTTTAGGGTTTGAGGGATAAGTGTTAAGTCGAGGGCTTAGGACCTTCGGGACATCCTGGTAGTAGGAATCGAGATACGACTAATGGTGAAGAGCACAAGGAAGACCATGAATCAGCATCACCATGATCATCATAGCACCGCCACTCCATCCATCCATCCATCCATGCATGCATCAGCCAATCCCATGATACGTACAATGAAACAAGCCAACTAAACCAACCAAACCTCCATGCATACATGCATATACATACACAACTACATGCATGCATACATACATACATACATAAATATGTATTCACATGTGCAGTTAGAGATGCAGATACGTAAACCAATGCAGATACATATGCATATACATAGACAACTACATATACATAGACATAGACATAGGCATGAAGGCATGCATTTGCCTAAACGTATACACATAAATATGAGTACATACCTACATAGGTACAGACATACGTACTGACTTACACACGAAACTATAGCACAGTACAAGTCAATACAATACACTGCAGTACAGTACAGTAATTACAACGCATTTCAACAATGCACAACTGACCAACACAACACAACAGGACATGATATAACACTATGCAGTACAGTACAGTGTATATACCTGTGGCGGGCGGGCGGGTGGGCGGGCGGACGGGCGGACGCAGCGAACAACCAATCAGCTGCAGATGCGCATGCGCAAGATCGTTCACATTTCTGGGCATCCAACGATAGCTGCAATGTGATTTGAACTCTTATCATGCGGTGCAGGCAACTGAATCATGAAACCTTTCGCCGGAGTCTAAAGGCTGATCGCGGAAGCTACGCCCACCTCTGCAAATGATGCGATGTTCAAGAGCTCAATATGGTCCCATCCTCCATAGGTACATTGCTTTGGGTTCTTCAGGGTGCCGGGTGTTTGGAATGAACCGTCTAGGGTTAGAGATAGTCACTAGTCGTGAGTTAGAGATTATTAAAGGTCTTAGGGATGTAGGGTCCGTGTTTCAGGCTTCAGGGTTGCGTTGGGCTTCGACTCCAGGCTGGCACAGGTATGGTGTGTTGGTACTATCGTGGGGATCAATGGAGCGAACCCCATACTCGATTTCGACACGACCGCCTTTGAGGGCTCAAACATGAACTTACCACTCACACGGGCCGTTATGTACAAGAATCTCTGCCTAAGACTGGCGGAACAAGGTCTCCGGCTTACGGATTTGAGTTTCCAGGCACTCCTCTGGGGTACTTGGCGGTTGAGGCTTGTGGTAAACCCCGAATTCGAGACCCTCGGGGTCAGATCGCTGGTGACTCGCCGGTACCCGAGAATCCCCACTCAAAGCCCTGCTGTCTTTTCCTCCGGCCCACTGATCCGGGCCTCCAGCGTAGAGGACGAAGAAGCCGAGGGACAAAAGGCCCCAAAAACCAGTGTACAGTCCTAGGTAAAGCGGTACATCCGGCTAATCCGGTTTATATGACACGGTTAACAGATTGGGAATTTGGGGAATAAATTTCACTACTTTGTTGCGGGGCTCCTTGTTATCAGTGTAGCCGATTATGCCCCTAAACCCTGCTCTAATTCTGCAGGCCCTTGTATCAGACTGTCGACCGGCCCTAATACCGCCAAAACACTGCACGAATCCTTCAATCAAAACTGATTACGACCCCGCCCCTCCACCCCCCCCCCCAAGACCGGAAGTATGCAAACTACAAAGAGAGGGTCAGCTGTACACCCAATTTCCACTCCTGGAGTCCGTGGAGACAGAGGATCTCGAGGTTCATAGAGGGGTCTGAATGATGAGCAATTCCCACAAAGTCCCAGTATATCTGTCATGGCTGTTATTATACCACAAAACCCCTTATATCTGCACAGTTTGAGACGTTTGCGGTTTAGGGCTCCGGAGCCTGAGCCTGTAGGGTTCGAAGCTGGGGGGTCTTGAAAAAGTTACGACGGTGGCGATGTCCGGGTTCGTGCATTTTGGCTTTAGAGGACGGACCAGTCGGAGGTTCAGAGCATCTGTTCTCTTCAAGCAAGAATTTTTGAACGTCCTAGACCGGCATGCAAGCAAGCTCTAATGAATGGAACTTTAAACCAACGTTCACCGATCCCGCGCTACAGATCCCTTGCCAGTCCCTATAGATCCCCATGAATCCGCATAAATTCCCTGTAAATCCTACTTGAACCGGGCTTGTACGTGAACTCCAATTCCCAGATCCAAAGCCCGAGAAGGTCTCGGAGACTAATTGTTTAAGGTTCAGGGTTTTAGGCCCAGGGTTTAGGGCTTGGGGCTATTGGAGTTAGGGCTCGAGGGCTCAATGCTTTCTTCATGTCGACACCGAGCATCTGAGCCGCAGCGTGGCCGGTGCTGATGGATTTTCGGCTCTCCAGATCAATGCCTTCGGGGTTGGAAACTTCGGGGCTTCAGGGCGGCGTATCATTCGATGTCGAGCGCGATATTCATAACAAGGCGGAATCGCTGGGAAGTCGTCAAAAAAACCCGAACCCTGTACCTCTTTCCCTAAACCTTTGCCTGGAAGCAGCGACACAGGGTCGACAATACTCAGTGCTGCACCCTCGGCTTTCTATACGGGACCCCACTCTGACAACCAGTGTTGCGATTTGCCAGTTAGTATGTAGAGGCTGGACAGTCCAAGTAGCAAGGGGTATGCGATGGGCGCGTAATCTATGTGAAAGCTAGACAGTCTAACCACCCTTGTACCCTAGTTTGGAATAGTCCCCTCGCCATGTAGGGGACGTATAGAACTCTACAAAGAGGAGCCCTGACGAAGCCTTGAATCACACAAAAATTCCCTGCGACGGCACTGGCCTTCTTCAAGGGATGAAGACAACCACACAACGCCATCAGCACCATGACGTAACCCATCCTGACAGAAGCTTGGGCTGTCGCGTTTTAGGTTCAGTGCCAGATGCAACACAGCCAATCTCCACCATCTGCATTTCTAAATCTAAGCACTAGGGTTTAGCGATCTCTTACAAATGTCCTGGCTGGCTCCAGCTCTAGGGCTCTTTCTGTGAAGCACTGCCCGGTTTGAGGGTATTGCAAACCTCTGAACGGTACCCTCAAGGTTTCGGTTCGTTTTCAGGGATCCTCGTAACAGGGGTCCTGTCGGTTTTGGCGTCAGGCACCGCCGCAAAAACCACAGCACATTCAAGAAGCCTTACCCTCAACCGAACGGCTTTGTGGCTCACAAATGCCTGGTGAGACCAGTCTGCACGCGGCACCCTTGAAGAAGACCACACTAACCTCTACACTACTAAGGTTGAAGGCTTCGGGTGTAGGATTTAAGAGCTTGGCCTGGGTTTTTCCTCGGGATTATGTAGGGGCCGGCCCGTGAAGCATGCTGCCTGCGCCTTCGAGCAGGAATCGCTTTTGTCAGATGTTAAGGGTTTAAGGCTAGGCCCTAAGTCGAAGACTTTGTTTCCAAGATGTAAGAGCTCAAAGTCCTAATACTACAGTCTCTGAAGCCCTCCAATTCCAATCCAAAGAACGGAGCTCTGTTGCTAAGCCACACAGGTGAATAACACTTGACGAACCTGAACCACCATCTGTTGCAGCACAGTTTCTGGAAAGGTATGTACAATGCCAAATTTGAAGCGTTTGCAAAACAGGCAACGGCGTTTGCCCCGCAGCCGACAGCAAGCACTGCAAAGAGACCTCGAGTGCTAAGTTGGTGGGTTTTCGTCGTTATTATAATGTACTTGCGTATACGTGTTCCATGTGTGCGTATACATAAACAGACACAGATACCCTGCCCAACTGGCTGCCTACATGCATACGTACCTACGCTAGTACGTACCTACGTACTAACATATGTACATGCATATATACGCACATACAGATATACATATATATATATATATATGCACACATACAGGCAGACAGACAGACGGACATATATTCAGATATACTCAGACATACGTACCTACATAAATACATGCATGCATGCATGCATACATACACAAGCTTACATACACACGTACGCACATACATACACACGTACGCACATACATACATACATACATACATACATGTAAACACATACACGTACAACTACGCTTACGTACACATACATGCATACATTGGCATACATACATGCATGCATACTTACATACATGCATACCCACGCACACGCATGTGCAAACACAACATGGTGCAACACAGCATAACACACCCATAACAAAGAATAGCACAGCAACATGTAGTATAATATCATAGAATATGATACAATGCAAGAAATGTACTAATACGTAAACATCACACACGCCGATAACACAGCAGAACGCATGCATGCATGCATGCATGCATGTAGTGTAAGAGCACGTAAAGGTGACGGCGATGGTGATGATGATGATGATGATGATGATGATGATGACGATGATGACGTACATGGTCTAGCTCTGCGAAGCAGCCTCTAACTCGTGTTTCATGATCTGGAGAAAGGCATTAGGGTGAGGCTGTACATAGAAGTCTGAAGCACCCATATATCAAGATGCTACAATATGCCCCAGTCCCTGTTGTATTCTAATTACCATGACCCCCATATTCGGGATCAGGCAGAGTTCGGATTTTAGAGCAGAGAGCTTAGCATTTGGGGCTTCGGGCGGGATGTGGCCTTCACGGCCTGGACTACCGGGATGGTATCAGGTTTTCGTTCCTTGTAACCGGTCATTTTTCTCGCTGCAATCGAGAAAACTGCTTCAGCTAGGTCCCTGCCTCTCGGAACACCCGACCATGATCATTCCAGACTGGCACTCGACGACGACGATGGTTACTGGCTTAGGCTTCAGGGTTCTCTTTTTCAGAATTCAGGCTTTAGCGTTGAATGTTGAGCCCATGAGCGCAAAAGTTGTCGCTTGAGTTCGACCCGTTCCTAAACGCACACAGCAGCACCACAACACTCTGCTCTTCAAGCATCTCCCGAAGACAGCAGAATGCTGGTCAGCCCGGTCCCCAGCAAAGAAGGCCTCATACCAAAGCATCCTAAATCTACCGAGCCGTCTGTGCCGGAAAGCTCTGAACCTCGAAACCTCGCCTTAGTGAACGAATATACGGACTTGAAGTGTAGCACCTGCACAAGCTCAAACACGGCTTGTTCCAGCCCTCAGCGAACTTGCGAACATAAGGAAACGACAGAATGGTCTGGATTCATGAAGAGGCTTCGGATCCAGGTTGGTAAACCCGTCACCCTGAAATCCCAAACGGGTAGCCGCTAAACTGCTCACCGCTGCAATCGTGATCTGATGTGTGCAGCGAGGAGCGTAACTCGTACGTCCAGATCCAAGAGCGCGACAGCATGAATGAGACCCCTCGGGTGCATTGCGAGTCATGATTGCCTCACCACGACGATAGCTACTTGCTCCGTTTGACTATAGGCTATGATCAGCCCAGCTGCTACTGCTACTGCTACGAGTACCACCACTACTACTACCACCACGACCGCCACCGCCGGATGCGACTACGACAACGACGACGACAACGACGACCTACTACTAGTAGTACGACGACGACTACATCTGCTTCTTTGCGATGACGACTACTGTTGCATGGGGCCCGACACCATACATGTTCGGATTAGTCGCGTGCAATAGCCTTTCGTTTGCACTGCTTCCTGCTGGAGAGGTATGTACAACGTGACCACCCCTTCTAAACAGGAATCCATGGGGCCACGGAGCTGCTACCTTTGGGAAGGTGTCACACAGTAATGCCAATCCAACCCCCCACCTGTTATCCTGGCTTCCTAAATCTAGACTCCTTAACTTCACTCGATATCCACAGTAGCTTCAATGCCGGAAGAGGCACAGAGGCAAAGGCGAGTTGGGAAGGCTTCTTTTTCTGGCATCTTGAGCTGCTATGCCTGAAGCCTAAGGCCTAAGACTCACACCCTGCAGCCCAAGACCCCGAACTTCGAACCCTGGTCTCGCCGCGACACCGCTGACCAAGTAAAGAAACGGCACCACCCACCTGGTGGCCGACAGGCTTGTCGGAAGAGAGTGCAGAAATCAGAGCGGATGGTTTATGATTCAGAAGCACTCCTGCAAATTCCGACGTAACTTGGCGTTAACCCTGAAATTGCTGTCGGCACAATCCCAGGCCCTGGACCATAAAGCCGTGCGTTTCGCAAGAAGCTCTCGTTTTGATCACTACACCCAAGACCCTGCCAGGAAAACGAAAAAGATGAAGCAGCTCCGGCATCCAGTAATGCATGGTAATCGTGTATAACAGTGTTGCCGTTCTGGCATAAACAAGACTAAGTCTTGGCACCCACATCCACGCAGCCCCGAACCCAAAATCTCAAACCCCAACATTGCAGACTCAAACCCTAAACATGAGCCCTCCCGGAAACTCCAAACCCTAAGCTCCCCCAAACACTGCGTGCCAGGTGCCAGGCTTAGTTGTTAGCTTATCAAATTCTGAAATGACAGGGTACACCTACATCTCGCGACTCAAGGCTTCGGGTGCATGGGATCTCAGGTGTAGGCCAGTATATTTAGGGGGTTAAACCTCAAGCCATGCGTTACGCCAAATTCCAATGCCGGAACCCAGACCGACTCTTAACTCTCACGGACACTACTTCTTCGCTGTTGATGGCCGCTTGGAGTTTCGGATTGGGGGTTCAGGGTTTACGGCGTTAGTAGCAGAGCAAGAAGCAAGGAATCACAACAGCAGCAACAACAACAATGACAGCAACAACAATGACAGCAACAACAACAACTACTACTAATTCTACTACTACTACTACTACTACTACTACTACTACTACTACTACTACTACTGCTAGCACTACTACTGCTGCCACCACCACCACCACGACCACTACTTCTACTTCTACTTCTACTTCTACTTCTACTTCTACTTCTACTTCTACCTCTACCTCTACTTCTACTTCTACTTCTACTTCTACTTCTACTTCTACTTCTACGTCTACTTCTACTTCTACTTCTACTTCTACTTCTACTTCTACTTCTACTTCTACTTCTACTACTTCGACTACTACTACTACTACTACTACTACTACTACTACTACTACTACTACTACTACTACTACTACTACTAACTGCTACTACTACTAACTACTACCACGACTGCTACTACTACTACTACTACTACTACTACTACTACTACTACTACTACTACTACTACTACTACTACTACTACTACTACTACTACTACTACTACTACTAAACTACTACTACTACTACTACTACTACTACTACTACTACTACTACTACTACTACTACTAATACTACTACGAAGACGACGATTACTGCCTCCGTCGTTCTCTTCGGTCAGCCTTTCACGTGCTCTTTCACTTGGTTACCCCAAAGTTCCTCAAAATCAGAAACGCCTGTGGCCTAACTTCCGACTTCTTTGCGATTTAAGCTGTAAGGTTTGCTTGTGCCAAGACACTGTTGAACCCAAAAATAGTTGTTCGCTGCGAACTGATCGCCGCCGCTATGCTCACTGACCACACAGGCCACCTGACAGCTTCGAAACAGTATGCCCTAGCTTTTGGCTTCTCTGTGCCGGTTGAAACGAACTTTTAGAAGAGTTCACTGCAAAAGTAAAACTTTAAGGCACCCGTTCTGAGAGACTGCTTGCAGAATGGGGAAGGACGTTGTTGGTTAGTTGTCCCAACCACGATGTTTGCTAAAGGACTGTTCATGGCATAACAAACCTCCAGTCCACTTACCTGAGCCGTTGCAAGTTTTTCCCGGAGCCCATTGTGAAGAGTACGAACCCGTCCACGACATGATCGTTTCACGTGTGTTCTGTTGCTAGGGTGCCGTTTCTTGCGAATGGTTCCGGGCTTACGCACGACATGTCTGCCAGGTAATAAACGGCTTGATGTTCGAGTTAAGCTTCAAAATCCGAATCAGGATTCAGGATCCCGGCTAGTGCTCACGGACTGCAATTTGCGATTCATTCCAAAAGTCCTTGCTACTTGGTACCAGGCCAGGCTGCGGCTGGCTCTAGCATCTCGAGTTGATGAGTTACCCATGATGCAGCTACGCACGCTTTTTGCACACGAGGTGTAAGGGGTTTGTGGAATCTTGTAGGGTCTTGGCTCTTGTGCGTGAGCACCTGCCAGTCGAATATTCGGGGCCTAGAAACGCGCATCTGGGATCAAGCAGAACTTGTGGTTTTGGCATGGGGCAATGGATGGTTGTTGCAGAGAAAGTTCTTCTGGATGTGATGTCAGCTCGACAAAACAACGCACACTCGAATTTGCTCCATCATGCGGAGCTGATGGGCCAGGTGAAGGCTTCCACGCATTTCCGCAAATGCTCGCGGATGTCCGCTTCCGCGGGGTAATGCTGCTTTGTGCAAAGCATGGTTTCCGAAGACTACCGCACAGCCTCAAATTCAGTGCGAGCTCTACAGGACAACGGTGTTATACCCTAAGTCCAGTCAACGCCGATCCTAAAGCTCCGGCTCACCGAACTGTGTAGCCAGCACGCCTACACGGCCTGCACCCCACAATCCGAGGTTACCACTTCAGGTGCGCACAACGGAATCGTGCGAACATATAGCATTTCTCGAAGGCATTGCAGAACAGGTGTGTTTCTGATGCAGGGCTGCGAGAGTTGGGAGTTGGAAGCTTTGAGATGGGATGGCCAAAGAACCCGCAAGCGCAAACCTGACACTAAACCCGCTGAACACAAAGCCCAAAAACCCAACAAAAGTCCCCAAGCCTTTGATTCTAGACCAGATTCAAAGTCGCCGGTGTCTGGATTCTGAAATCTCAAACCCTTGAGTCACCGCAAGGGAAGGTAAGAAAAAATGGCCCAAACCATAAGATCCTTGAGATAGATGACAGGCTGTCCTGTCTTCAGGGTCAGGAATGAAAGGATAGCTTATCTTGCAAACTCCCACTTGGGAGCCTTTACCGATTCACGGCCCCAAAGCCTCAAGGCGCAAATCCCAAGCTCCCGCAACCTCTAGACCCCAATATACATAAAGGGTTTCCAAACCTTCAAATGCTGAACCGGAAACCAGCCCAAGCCCTAACACCCTAAACCCGAAACCCAATCCCATTACACCGCTGATCCCACAAACCTTTACTCTGAACTTCGCTTTGCAGGAGCTGGAAGGTCGGATCTTGGCTCAGGGCTTGAAACGGCGGTTGAAAGACAAGGGCACAAAGTGCAAGGCTTGCCTGTGACCCAAAAAAAGCCTAAACGCTCACACCTCCGTCTTATGAAACCACTCTTTCGGGTTACATGAATAGGTGCGCAGAACTGGGACTCTGCGAGTTAAAGTTCAGGGTTTAGGTTGTAGGGTTTCAGAGATAGGCTGCAGGGAAGTCATTGCTGCGCTATGGTAGTCGCCGTCACATGTGGTTCTGCACTCTACTCGAGTTAAAGCTGTTGCCGTGAGCCCCAGGTAAAGCTGGAAACCCTAGATCCAGCTCTGGAACTAGGACCTTGTTATCATCAGTATGTTTATACTATTTTGCTGCTAATATTAGAAATGAAGGGCTAGAGAACTTCACAACAAGGTTTCAGGTCTCAGGTGTTAGGGTGTTGTGTGTAGGTCAGATATGGGCCTGGGGTTGGCGATTGTTTTGACTTTTTGGAGGGGGGGGGTCCTTGTTATGACAACAGTGCAAAACACCCCAAAGCCCTTCATCTCTAATTTGTTCGGGACCCCGTGCTAATTTCGCTGGGCCCCCCAACGCAGGCGATGCGGGCGAAGTCCAAATGATACAGGCGCTCCCGTTTGTGATTGGCCTGGGGGCGCGCTGCTGAGATCCTAAACGTTGTATGAGCCGCACAAGACCCGCAGCTTAGCCGAAGCTGCCGCAGTAACATCCTCAAGCGGACCTTAAAAAGACCCGAAATGCTTGGTGACGGTCCTTCATAGGAGTGCAGTATCCTAAAACATTCTCGGTTTAGTCCGCTCCGTCTTCCTCCGGATTTCGGATGGCTGGGTGCGAGGTACTGGGTATCCAATACCTCAATAACTCGAATAGGGCTTCGAGGTGCAACTATAAGTATAATAGACTGAGAATCCCAAGGAGTAGGAGATCTGAATTACTCATACGTCTACATCATTTTTGGCTGTGCTAAGTGGCGGGTTTGGGTGCTAGGGTTTCGGTGTGGGTCCTGATGCAACATCTCATCCGGAAGCACCAGCAACCAAAACCCTTCGTCGAGGCACCCACTCAGGGCTTTTGCCTACAGCCCATCCCGACTCTGCAAAAATCACAATGTAGAACCGTAGTGATACCAAAATGATGGCGAGCCTGTTTACATAGACGGTGAAACCACGACGACACAGACGAGACACACCGAAAGCACGACAAGGAAAGCAAAGGCAACCCGCCTACCAGCACCAGCACCAGCACCAGCACCAGCAGCACCACCACAGCCCCACCGCCCGCGGCCAACCGCGGCAAGGATGAGGCTAGAATAAGCATGATACAAAAAGCCTGGAGCAGAAGCATGATTTCTGATGGGGGGAGCCGGGGCGATGAAGAAGATGATGTTCAGAGCTTTATGACGACATGATACTTGATGATTGTACTGGTGATAAAACCAAGCAACTGGAATAACCAAACCACAAGCCACATCGACCTAAAGGCCGGGAGCGGCCGTAGTAACTGCAGAAGAAAGAATCCGCATGCGAGAGAACTCGAGGCTAAACCTAAACCTGGGAGCCTGAACTCTTTGCCCGAGTCCCGAAACCCCGTTTTAAAGTCCTGCACACCGAAACCCCTAACCCCTAAACCCTAACACCCGAGAGTCTACAGCGTACACTCTCTTCACCTGCCTTCGGCATGTCCTCCGCACTTCCACTTCCACTTCCCGTCTCGTCAGGCACGTCATGGTGCGTAACATCCTGAGCTGCCTTCTTGTTCAAGGGTTAAAACAAAAATACCCTTATCAGGGAACCATTGCATTGCCACAAAACTACACATTATATGGTATATGTGTGTGTACATATATATATATATACATACATACATACATACATACATACATACATACATACATACATACATGGTACATGCATGTTACATACATGCTACATACATGTTACATACATGTTACATACATGTTACATACATGTTACATGCATAATACATGCATACATACATACATACATACATGCATACATGCATACACACACACACACACTAAGTATGTATGCATGCGTATACATATGAATGTCTTGAATACCTAGCATGGGTCTTTTTCGGGGTTACCATGCGGTGACCAGGGCATCATATTAATATGGCTAGCATGACTCTCTATCTTGGAAACGTGAAATGCTCCCCTTTCGGGAAGCCACTCGCCGTCATAAGATCAGCAGATGGACCGTACAGAGGTTTGCGGTTGAGGGCTTGGGGTTCTTACCACAAGGTTCTTCCGCTGCAATAAACTCGGACGTGCCGAACTCCCCTGGCTGTCCCAGAAACATTATCGGCAACGGGGATCCGACCACGTGCTTGGGATCCATGTTCGGTAGGGAGTAGAACAAAGAAGAAACAGTTTAATATAGGAACCTCATTAAGAAACCCTTGGCCTATAACACCAAAATAGTAGGATTCATATACGAAGCCCTTATAAAGGCCCAAGGTTTCTTAATCAGGTTCCTCATTAGGAATGACAGTATGAAGAAGATGCATAGCAAAGGAACGCCTCAAAGAAGTCCGATAAATAAGACTAGCTGTCGTTGATATTGTGTCGTGTTCTTGCTTCGATAGTGCCTGCTTGGGGGCTGATGGACTCACGAACTTCTAGCAGGGGGAAGGAAGGATTATGTGGGTATGAGTTTATGTAGGGGTTCGGGGTTGAGGGCTTAAGCTTCGAGTTGTGGAAGTTCTACCAAGTGCAGCACTTCGATCTAATTCCATACCAAGCGTCGGTTGAACCAGTCTTCTGCCGATCCCGCTCCGCCCGCTCCTGCACAGATTTAGGTTTTGACTGTTCGCACCTGCTCTTGAAAACCTGTCTCTGTGGATATGGGCTTGTTTCCAAAAACTGTTGCCCTAAGGAGTTGCGATTCCGATGGCAGCTTACTGTAAGACGATGGTGTGGGATTCATTGCATCTTCGGACTCATGGGTGGTTGTCAAAATTATGGTCCCTGGTTGGATCCCGATTATAATACGGCACTTATTATTTGGGGTACCCCAAAAGGGACCTCAATTTTGACAATTACCCTCATGGATTTCGGATCGTGGGTCTTCTCGGTTCGAACGATCCACGGAAAGCTCTTCCTAAATCAGATCTTCCCAAACCTCACGAGGGAAAATGCGGACTGTGCAAAGCACAGTGAAACCCCACCAATCCCCATATGAAACCCTTATACAGCCAGCTACCAGCCCTTCTCATACCCTACAAGAACCTAGGGTTTCGGGCACCCTACGATGTAAGGGTTAGGAAGCCCTTGATGTCCCTACTGGCAGACCTGAGAGCATCACGGAACCCTGTACTACGCATGCCACAACGATAAAAATACAGGCCTCACACATTAGATCAGGCCCCTCTCTCCTACAGTGACCCCCGACCAAACCCACCGTGTCAAATTTTGGACGCTGTCCCTGCCGGCCTTCTTGACGGCAAGCAGCAAAGCCGCTGCCGAAACGAAGAGCATCGGCATGAAAGCACGCGAGAAGAGCGTCCTTTGGGTGAGGTGCTTCGGCATGCTTCGGTGAGCTGTCGGAGAAACGAGGTTGGATGGAAGGTTGATAATTTAGCCCCAAGCCACCCCAAACCCGAAGCCCCAAACCCGCCGAACCCAAACTCCGGATACCCCGCACTTAGCAAGGTTCACAGTCTAGGGGGTAGTTGGGTTCAGGGTTTAGAGGTTCCCTCGCTGTAAGGTTTAGTGGGGCTTAGAGATCTGAAGCGCAGTGCTGTGTGCCCAAAACCTCAACGAGGAACCCACTTTCTGCACCCTCGAGCCCCAAGCACTAAACCACCCTGCGGACCGAACCTTTCTAGAACCCTTATAGAGAACCCGTCCAGAGCCCTGAGACCTTCTTCTAGAACCCGTACAGAACCCTAACACACTTCTGCCAAAGAGGCCTTGGGTCGTTGTCCCGCTCCCCGCAGCCACATTGTGCCTCCGTCAACTCTTTTGTATCAAGGGCTTTCGAGAGGCCTTTCAGTTTTGGAACTTGAGGGTTCGTAGGGTTCTGGATGTACCCCATGCTCGAACCTGGGAGCTCTTGATCATAAGCTTCGACTTAGGGTGGCGGCATGCATGCCTGTATACGTACAGGCGTACATACATACATACATACGTACGTACATACATACATGCGTACATATGTACTACGGTCTCTGTGTGTGTGTGTGCGAGTGCGAACTGGTTCATACTTGCATACAGCTTGCATACATGAACCTGTAGATTATGACACATCTTCCTCTTGCAGGGGTTCTGGAGAGCTGATAGGTACGCGGTGCCTGACAGCTAGTTGCAACGACTCCTTAGTGCGGTAGCCCTTGGGGTAAGAAGTCCTGAACCCTCGGGGTTAGCTCAGCTCAAGGGCTTTCGATTCAGAGCTTGAGCTACTTACTTCCTTGATTAACTCTGAGCCCCCAACGTACAATCTAAAGTCCTCCCCTTCAACACGAAACTGGAAGACCCCCTTTGCTGCTGGGACACTGTCGGTGTTGAATAGAGCCAGTTCACGTACTGCACTGGGATCTCAGCCTTATCTTGGGTGCTTCGGGGTGGCGGTTTAGTGCTTTACGGTTTAAGGCTGTAGGGTTCAAGGCGTTGGGATCCTCTGATTGCTATTCCACTTCTTTGAGTATAGTGGGATCCTCAGAATGCTTAACAAAAGTATGGAATACCGTAATCAGCGGTCCCTCCTGGCGTTGCGTTGCTATCTCAAGCACTCACACCTCTGCGTCAGACTGTGCACATGACCCGCATGACTTTACAGGTGATACCACTCGGTTTCGAATAGTTATATACATATATACATAAGCGCATACATGCATACATATAACTGACACACTGACAGAAAGACTGACATGCACACATCCATAGATGCATGCACTCATGCGTGCATGCAGTGCATGCATGAACGAAAGGATGAATGCATGCGGGCGGGGGTGGGCGGCGTTCGGGCATACTTACACACGTTTACTAGCTTGCATGTTCAATCAAAACGATTTGCCATGCTGCTTCTTTCTGCAACAACGTGCGAATTTTGCTGGACTGGTACCCAAGGTAAAGTACAGACACTACGGATTCAGGGAAAAAACACTTGTGGGAGAAAAGCCCTGCTGGACTGGTACAACATAAGAAGATTATCTTGCTCATAATAGTGCGTATGGGGGCCTTGGTAATTTACAATAACCCCGCGGAGCAGTAAGTATGCTTGTAGCTTCTATGTACACAAGCAAACCCCAGGAAATACAGAGAGGGAGTACTGTGACCGATCCTTGGGGACCCTATATGCCACCACCGGCAGCTACACAGAGCTGACCTTTAGACCCGGCGCCCCATATGAAGCCTTTGTTGTGCTTCGGTGCGGCTGCTCTTCGGTTTGGGGTCTGGGATTTACGTCGACGGCGAAGGCACCCTTGCACAAAGAAGACCGAGTACTGTGAGAAGGAATAGGTTTATAGGTGGTCTGCGACCTGGATTAACAGGCGAGAACGTTCCAAAAAGATGGAGCCTGAACGGCCTGAACGAATGGGATTTGGGGGGGCTTCTTTTTCTGTTATCCTACAAGCGAGATCGTCATGATTCAAGCCGCTATATTACCAGCCAATCGCTTGATGGCCACCTTACACTTTCGCTGGCGCGAACTGCCACGGCAAGGATGCAACCACAACCCCTACACACAAAATCCCAAAGGGCAAGCCGTAAAGCGATAGACTCCTGCACACTCCGGACCATGAAAACCGAGCCCAAACGCAAGCCCTACAGGTTCAGGGTGTTGGAGCGCCCCAAATCCGCAAGCCCGACATTCGACTATTTAGAGGCCTTCACATGGCACACATGTATTCAGGAACCGTAAGGACTAATATCCCATTTTAGCACGGGATCCTTGCACATCGCGCCAGAATCGCAATGCCCACAGCTAGAAGAAAGGCAATCGCAGTAGGCTTCAAGACTTGATCGGTTCTGGTTCGGACCTTGCTGCTTCTGGGGTCTGAGGCTTACGCAGTGTTGAGGAATGATACTGTGGATTGAGGGCTCAGGAGTGCGCGGGCGTAGGCTCTACAGGTCGCAAGTCTGGAAGCACTGACGGCGCTGATGCTAGAACTCGTAGTTTGGAACGTGGCTTGTGGAAGGAAGGTCTTGTGGAAGACAGGTGTGAGTGTATGGCATGGCCTTCTGATGATCAGATGCTGGATGAAAAACTAAACCTAGTGATCCAACGCATCGGCAAGAATGAAGCTTGACACTCAAGCATCATGAATCATGCAACCCTCCCGAAACCCCCTAAACCCCACCAAAACCCGGACCCACGATGTGCCTTTCGGGACAAGAATCACGAAGTCCTAAGCCCTAGCCAAACACAAGTCGAAAACTCTTAACTTATAGGATCCTAGACACACCCTGTCAGAACCTTCAAGAGAAACCCGATCAAAAACTGAACAACCCCTAGGATAAGCTACGCCCCAGCAGGGGCTCCTGCTCTTGGGGGCCGGCTTTGGGGATCACGGATTCAAGAGCTGCAGGACTGCTTGGGGCCATCGGGCTCTTGGTTAATCTACAGCTTCGGGCTTTACGGAACGGGATTGGGGCAAGGTACAAGAATCCAGGGCTTTCAGTGGATTCAGGCAACAAAGGGCCTTGGTGACTAGACCGCGGTTTTTGAGGGATTGTTGCGTTGCCTACAGTTTATATAAAGGAAGCCTGGCCTTCATCATTTGGGCTCCTATGTTGGGGGCCCGGCCTTGTGGACTTAGCGCTTGGGAACACGAGCCTCACGGCTTTAGGATCTAGGTTGCAAGGCTTTCCAGCCGCTTGGCGTTGAGGGTTCTGGGCTCAGAGATTCGCCAGAAACCTACCCCCCAAACCCTAAATTAATGAACCCGAAAGACTTAAACTCTAAGGCCCTAAACCCTAAATTCTAAAGCTTCTAAACCCTAAAAGCCTTATACGGCTGTAAAACCCCAAACCCCTCCAATTTGTGTTCCAAGCTCTTAACCGGAGCTCAGGAGGATATCAGACAGCAGTAGCCACACGCAATGAAGATGTAACCATGCGCAGCCTGTGGAAACAAGAACTTTAGGTACGTTTAGGGATTCGGTTGCTTTCAGATTCCGTTCTGCTCCTCGTTAGTGCGTTCCCTACCTTCTAAGCCTCAACGACTCCGGTTGCTCGTGCTGCCAGCATTGGATCCGCGCCACTATAACTCCTGAACCTAGAACTCCCAGCTACAAGCCCCCTTCATGGCCGCGAACTTCCTTCGTGCCCGCCTACTACCCGCCTGAAACCCTGAATAAATGCGGAAAAGGCAGGTGCCGTCTAAGCCTGCTGATAAGAGCTTGTCGAGCTTTGTGGCCAACATGTCTTGAAGTGTTTGTGGGGGGCTCTGGTGCTTCAAATTCAGGGCTGGGTGTTGTTGGGTTTAAGCTTCAGGCTTGCAGCCTCGGGTTTGGTTGCAAGCTCTTGCATGCGTGCGGACGCACGATGCGAAACCCGAGGTGCCGAATCCCAGATGCAGCCGGGTCTCCTTTTTCAAAATAGGCAAGAGATGAGGTGTACAGCAGTCCGTTACGGATGTGCTGGTTTGCAAGAGCCCTACCCTTGAAGCTGTCTCATGATAACGCCGAACTGAATCGGCTTAGGTACTCCGTGCGTAGGCCACTAGGGATAGCAATGAGGTTCGAGCCTAAGCCACAATCCTCACCCCTTCAAGATTGACGGTGTCAGCCTCGCCCTGAAACCCAACCCCTGAACCTCGGAAACAAAGCAAACCTGTATGAAACCATACAACACGTTGCAAACAAAAAACTTGTAGACCCTTTGAACCTATCAAACTCTACGCCCTGTAAAACCGAATAAACCTGTAAGACTTCACCTGACAAACCCCCTCAACGGGGGCTTTCGCAGTTCTACATGAAACGAGCACATTTCACAGCAAACTGAAGCCTGCCCCCTCCAAAAACAAACTGGTTTCCAACAAACAGGTCGCCCCTCGTGCCCTTGAGAGTCGCTCGAAGTGTAAATATCCACCCCGGAAAGGTTTATGCGCCTGGAGAGGGGGGCGGGGGAGCTGGCAAAAGCAAAAAACTTGTCGAATTCACAGCAAAGAAAGAAGTAGCGAGGTTATTGAGCTAGATTCGCTGAAATTTGGGCCAGCCGAATATTCGAGAAAACTACCAAAGGGCGCTGAAAGCCCTCAAAATCTGAAAAGCTTTTGCTGCCTGACGGTAGAGACGTCATTAGCGGGGCGTCACTACAGACCTCGCTCTACCGGGAGCTTTACCGGGAAGCTTTACCCTCCCTCGCCGTCGCTCGGCGCGGTTTCATTTGGGATTGCTGCCAGCAGGCTTTTGTGTGATTTCGTGTCGCTGATCAGCATTTTGTCGTTTCGGATTGGCTGCACTGTGGGCTTTCCTTCTACTCTTCAACATTATCAGTTGTTTTTGCTTGAACCCCAAGCCCTTGAACCTTCAACGACGAAACTGCCAAAAGCGCCGCCGACAATTTCCATTGGCACTGGAAGCAACGGCAATATGTAACACTGATGGTGGCCAAGCATAGTCGGACCCCAATCCTTCTTGCAAGGGCCAAAATCGTAGCTCCCTGCGGCAATTTTTGGTAGCAAAGCGTGTTTCCGTAAGGGGTTGGGTGGGAGGAATGAAACCAGACACGACAACAACTCGAGTAGTGTGATGGTCACACATATGCCATGCCGCATTCTTTATTCTTCTTGTGTTGCTTCCCACTGCAGGCCGAAAAGCGAATCTCAAAACCCTGGGCAAAGACGAAGCTCAACCCAAAACTCCAGCTAGAACACTTCTTCAGGATTCAGAGACGGGTTCCGGCAGCCCATGCTGGGTTTAGGGCTCAGGGTCAAGTCTTAAAACCATCATCCCCGGACAAGTCGCACTGTCTTGTGCGGCTCTTGCAAACTCGATTTTTCACATGCAGTCCGGTGCCAGCACCCTGTGTCTTCAAGGAACCTCAATTAAAAACCCGAATACTAGCCGGAGATGCCATCGAACACTCGGATTTTCTACTCCTTGGCCCACTCCTATTAATCTGCTACTACTACTATGTCACCATCAATTTCACCAAGACAGCACCACCACAACTATCTACTACGTATTACTTATTACTGTTCGCTGCTTACAACTTACTACGTACCAATTACGACTTACTAGTTCTAGTGGGGATACTGCTTGCTACTTACAGTTTGCCACTTGCTACTTACTACTTACAGCGTGGTTGTCAGCTACTTCTTCCTTACATACTTAGACTGACTTACTCACTTACTCACTTTCTCGCTCACTCACCTACCTACTTGCGTGTACTACCACTACACCACTACTGTCACCACCAGCACCACCACAACAGCAGCAGCAGTAACAGCTACAGCAGCAGCAACAACAGCAACAACAGCAGCAGCAACAACAACAACAGCACCAACAAAGAAAGAAGCAACAACAGCAACCACCACCCCAACCACAACGACAAAGACCACGACCACGACCAGGACAACGACGACGAGGACGACGACCACGACGACCACAACAACGACACCAGAAGCAGCAGCAGCACAAGCGCCAGTGCCAGCGCCAGCGCCAGCACCAGCACCAGCACCAGCAACCAGCACCAGCACCAGCAGCAACACAAGCAGCAGCAACAGCATCAGCAGCAACAACAACCACAACTACGAATACTAAGACCGACACTAATAAAAGCAGTAGCAGCAGCACTACTACTAGTACGATAAATACTACTATTACTATTACTACTAGTATCGCTATCACTATGACTATTACTGTTACGATTACCATTACCATTGCTATTACTATTACTATCACTATTGCTATTACTATTACTGCTACTGTTAGCATTACTATTACCATTACTAGTACTATTACGATTACGGTTACGATTACGATTACGTGTACTAGTACTAGTACTAGTACTGCTACTGCTACTGCTGATGCTCCTACTCCTGCAGCCACTGCTGCTGCTACTCCTGCTGCTGCTACTACTACTGCTACTACTCCTTCTACTCCTACTCCTCACTGCCACTACTGCTGCTACTGCTGCTGCTGCTACTACTACTACTGCTACTACTACCACGCTATGTCCAGGGCTACTTCCGCTACTTACACTTACCTGCACTTGCTCCTACTTTCTAGTGCTAATTACTCACTACTACTTACTACTGCTTTCTGCTGCTTACTTCTACTTACTGCTACTTACTACGAGTGACTCCTACTTTCTACTACTCCTTCGTCTTCTCCCTACATTGCTGTCAGAACACGGCCTTTTGCCTCCAGAATGCTCCATGCTGCCAAAAGGGTTTACACGGGATCCTTCGCTAAGGGTGGGTGCTTCGGATTGATGTGAGTGTTGTAGATCTTCAGGGGCTTAGGGTCTGGGACCTTTGGACTTTTCGGGTTTTAAGGCTCGGTGCTTCGGCTTGGGGGGCTTTAGGCCGTTTAGGCCGCTAGCAGGCAGGTGCTGTGTTGCAGATTCGGTCGCGGTTGTGGCTTTGAGGCTCTGTGCTTTGAGCGTCGGGCCTTTCGGTTTGGGGGAGGAGCTTCAGAGTGCGAGTTGGGGGCTTTGGGGGGGTTGCTCCTACGCCACAGGAGATGAGACGCTCGCAAAATACCCGTCGATGTGTCGGTTCGGGGTCGGCGTTCTAAGGCTACTAAGTCGAAGACGGCAAGGTGCTTCGCTTCCTAAGGGTTTTGGGTTGCAGGCTTGTTTTGGGCCTTCAGGGTTTGTGCTTTAGGGCTGAGGGCCGCCCTAGGAATGGTCGAACCCTAAACCCTACTTCATTCTGGCGATAATTTTAAGCATCCTATTTGGCAAAGAGCATCCAGAATTCTGGCGAATTGCACGTGAGACATGGGGCT